TAGGGGGAGAGGCAGATTCGAAATGGCGTGTCCCCATTTGTCTTCTTCTTCGAAGAGGGAGCAGAATGGCGACACGCACTACGAGAAGGCGAGTGCAGATTTGTCCGTTGGGGATTTGTTCGTCTTCCCGGCGGGACACCCTATCGCCATTGTTGCGCACAAGGATTCGGATCTGGAGCTGGTTTCGTTCGGGATCAGGGGGTCTAACAACCAGAAATACTTCCTAGCAGGTAAGAACACAACATTATTATTATTATGTCTCGAGCAATGATTAGGAGTATGATCAATTAATAGTGATGATGATGATGCAGGGAGAGATAGTGTGTGGGAGAAAGTGCAGGCGGAGGCGAAGGAGCTGTCGTTCAGGTTGCCGGCGAAGGAGGTTGAGGAGATACTGAGGAGGCAAGGAGAGTCGCAGTTCTTGGCAGGTCCGAATTTGCAGAAGCAGGAGAGAGAAGGGAGGTTTGTGGGGTCTATTTTGGACTTTGCTGGCTTTTAAATAGAGGAGAGAGAGAGGGAGGAAGGAAGAAAGGTGTGGAGTGAGAGTGAAGTTTTGTTGATAAATAAGGGTATGTGATGCGATGATGATGAGTAAGTGAGGGAGCCCTTGTACCTTAAAGCTTTTGAATAAATATAATGATAATATTAAATAGTACTCCATCCACGAGTTATTCTTTTTTTTTTTTTTTTTTTTTTTTTTTTTTTTTAATATTAATGCAATAATATTTGTAAAAAATTTATACAAATACAAGAATATTTTTAATTTAATAAAATATATAAAGTATTTGAAGAAAATGTACAAATAAGAAGAAATGATAAAAATATTCTTATTAGTGTTCTAATATTAATATATTGTAAAAAAATTTATATAATTATAAAAATATTTTTAATTTGAAAAAATACAAAAAATATTTGAATAAAATTTAGTACAAATTAAAGAAAAATGACAAAAATATTTTATTGGTATCTTGTAATATTAATAGAATGATATTTATAAAAAAATTATATTTAATATTTTTAATTTAATAAAATAAAAGAAGTATTTGAAGAGAAAACAAACAAATATATATATATATATATATATGTGATAAAATACAAGAGATAAAGAAAACATGCTTAGATGCTCATATGGGATGGGACTATCTTTTATAATTATTTTAATAGCTAGTTATGTAATTAAAATATTTATTATGTTTTGATGGAATAAATTTTTGGGTACAAAATTATGTAGGATAAATTGATTTTACTTATGTAGATGCATTTGATGATTCTGTTCATTAAATATTTAATTTTCTTATAAAAAATAATAATTCAATATAAAATATTACTGTTATATGGGTACATAATAGCATAACCTAATAACATGCAAAAAGGCCCCGCATGACAAATCGTCCGACAAGATAAATCATACTATAAGATCGAAGACTTAAGATGGATGGATAGGATACAATCTTGAAGAGACCTAGGTTGCTCGGGTAGGGTCGGGCCATCAACTTGGGTAGAAAACGGGCTATAAGTACATATAATTTGAGTCCACACGAATTTATTTTTAGATATTCTTCAAAAAGTCTCATACCAGTGGAGTTCACTTGGGACTTATAAAGTGTGCAATTTTCGTCACAACTTTCGATATGAAACTTGGATTTGCACCCCAACAATATATATATATATATTTCAGCATTTGAAACTAATCATATTCACATATATAAAAATTCAAAAAATTTAAATACGATTCAAACTTGAAGACAAGAAGACTTTTAGTTCCCATATTTGCTAGATTAAATTCCAAAGGAATTTTTACTAACTTCATTAGACATTTAGCAATGACATCTCAAAAAAATACTCCCTCCGTCCAATTTCTATTGTCCTAAAGTATATTTGTACGATTTTTAAGGTGATTGTTTTTTTGTTATGAATTGACAAATTTACCCTTAATTGTATGGTAGAGATTAAAAGTAATAAATGAATTAGGGTAAAAATGTAAAATTTGTGTTTAAAAAAAAAGGACAATAGTTGTTGGACGTTCCAAATAAGAAAGTAGGACATTAGTTTGTGGACGGAGGGAGTAGAATATAACATCTATACATTATGTTATATATATATATATATATGGCAATTGATATGTTTCTTTTTTTATGGGTTTGAGAAAAAGTTGGGTTTGAATTTGATATTAAAATAATGTATAATGAGATATTTTATTAAAGAAAAAAATATACTCTTTCTGTTCACATATAAAGTAAACATTTACTTTTGGCCCGCAGTGTTTAAAAAATAATAGTATTTTAATTATAGTTGATAGCTAAAAGTAGGGTAATGATATTTTTGTCCTTGATATTTGGTATAAAAGTAATGATACAATGTAAAGTACGGATATATGTGAAAAAAAGTGAAATATTAATAAAATGTCTATTTTGAAATTGGATATCCCAAAATAAAACGGAGAGAGTATTTTTTTTTCAAAAGATACATAATCCAAATAATATAAATTTGAAATTTTTGGCAAAAAGAAACAATTGACTTTTAGGATGGATTTGAAATTCAATAGAAAATAAAATTTCAAATATTTTTTATATATTTTAAATTTATATTTTTATATAAATAATATTTTTAAAATTAATTTTTATAAAAAAATATCGTTTAATAAAACTTTAAAAGAAAACATAAATCAAAAAATTATTTTACATTTTTCTACTAAATACAATTAATATTTTTAGACTATAAATACTACTTCCTCATCTTTTAAGTCCGTTCATTATTAATTTTGATAAAATTAAATTTTTAATATTTAATTATTATTCTATATTTAGTCCTTATTTATTATAATTACGACTATCTTAAATTTATCCACAATTATATTTTTATTTATATCACTTTTTTTTAATAAAATATTTATTTTATTTAATCTTTATGTTCGACCTAAATAAATTATTTTGATAGAATGGGAAGAATATTTAAATATATAATTAAATAATGTATATCATTATTTATTATTGAACCAAATATTATATTCCAACTATTGCGTTTGTTTGGGGGATTCAACCAAAAATATCAAATCCAACATCTATTTTTCATTTTTTATATTATACTAAAAATCAATTTTACATTTAAAACATCATATCAACAACTATTTATATCACATCATACAACTATTCAAATTTAAAATTTTTATTATTCAAATCTCAATTCAAAATCCAAACCCCCAAACAAACACACCATTGATTAACAATAGAATTCAATGGGATATATTTAGGGTGTGTTTGTTTGGAGGATTAGATTAGATTTCTATTATTCATCCCATTTTTTTTCCCCAAAAACATCAAATCAAACACCTATTTTTTATTTTTTATATTATACTAAAAATCAATTTTACATTCAAAACATCACATCATACAACTATTCAAATTCAAAATTTTTACTATTCAAATCTCAACTAAAAATCTAAATCCCCGAACAAACACACCCCTTATTTTCAGTCAAATATTAACGAGCAAAATTATTTATTTCACCAAAAATTATACTCCATTAAACAATAGAAGAAATAAATATGGTGGGTTTGTTTTGTAAATTTGATGGTTTTTTTTTTTTTTATGTAAAATATAAAAATAAAACATAGTTATAATATATTAGTTTTTTTAAAAAAATTATAGTATTTCTAATTCAAAGTTATAATTGAATTTTAAATAAAATAATAATTATCTATTAATAATATATATATACTTGTCTCTATTGCCGTTTATTTTTTTCACATGAATTATATAAATCAATAGAAAAAATTAAAATACTATAGTGTGATATTTATAGGTGTGTTTGTTTGGAAGTTTGAATTTTGAGTTAGAGATTTGAATAGTACAAATTTTGAAGTAGAATAATTGCAGGGGTGTCAAAAGTAAACAAGACCCGAAAAATCGAATCCGTTCGACCTGAAATGTTTTAGGTCCGAGTATGGGTATTTCGAGTTTGAAAAAATCGGGTCGACCTGAACCTGAAACGAAAAAATTCGTGTCGTGTTCGGATCGTGTTTCGGGTTGACTTGATTACCTGAAATATAAAAATCAAGTAAGATTTTGGGTTAAATATTTCGGGTTGACCTAGAATTTTTATTATTATTATTTTAATTTATAATATTCATATTATTTTAAATATAAAATAATATAAAAATTAAAATAAAAATTATTTTTTTTTAGGTCAATTTAATTTTTTTTTTTAAATTTTCAGGTCTGTTTCGTGTCGAGTTCGTATCGGATTTGTTCGGATTTCGGGTGACCTGAAACTAATTCAGAACCTGACCTGAAAGAATTCGTATCGTGTTTGGGTCTAGGGTTTCGTGTCAGATCTCGGGTTCAGGTTGACAGTTTTTTTGTTATCCCCATGGCTCAACTCGACATGAACACGACCCAAAAACACGAATTGACACTCCTAAATAATTGTATAATGTATATAAATAGGTATTATGTAATGTTTTGATTATAAAATTGAATTTTAGAATAATATAGAAAATAAAAAATAAGTGTTATTCTATTGGGCACGAATTAAAAAATAAAGATAAATCACTTTTTTGCCCTTATGAATATATTAGTGTAAAAAATAGTGACAATTATGTAGTAATAATAAAAAAATAAAGATAATTTTATAATGATATATTTATTTATAAAAATAAAACTATTATTTTGAGACAGACAAAAAAAATATAAATAAAACTATTACATTCAAAAGAGATAATAAAAATAACAATGTTAGAAAGAGAGTGACAATTTTCGTTTTATAGTCGCTGCTCGAACGGAGGCGTGTAAGCTCCACTGAAATAAAAACTCGTCAAAATAAAAAAATAAATATTTATATATGTACGGCCTGGTTTGCAAGTTTTAGGTTCGACTGAAAATAGGTTCGACCGACCATTTACCTGAAAGTTTAATCTACCCAGTTTCGAGCTTTGAAGTCATCCAAAAAAATAAATAAATAAAAAATAAATGGTAACACTAACAAGAGGAGTAGGCATGACATGAAAGGAATTATGGAGCTTTGATTTAATTTATTTATCTATTTATCATTCATTATTATTATTATTATTATTATGGACATAAGCGCTCTCTCTCTCTCTCTCTCTCTCTCTCTCTCATGTATTATTTATTACACAAGAAACTACAAACACCACAGACTCCTCTCTTCTTCCTCAACCCAACTCCATTAAATTAAAAGCCTGCAAATTCCAAAACAGATCCCACAAACCTCTCCTCTCTCTCCTTCTGCCAATTCGGACCTGCGAAGAACTGCGACTCTCCTTGCCTCCTAAGTATCTCCTCAACCTCCTTCGCCGGCAGCCTGAACGACAGCTCCTTCGCCTCCGCCTGCACTTTCTCCCACACACTATCTCTCCCTGCAACATCATCATCGTCATCATTATTAATTGATCATACTCTTAATCATTGCTCAAGACATACTAATAATAATGTTGTGTTCTTACCCGCTAGGAAGTATTTCTGGTTGTTAGACCCCCTGATTCCGAACGAAACCAGCTCCAGATCAGAATCCTTGTGCGCAACAATGGCGATGGGGAATCCCGCCGGGAAGATGAACACATCCCCAACGGACAAATCTGCACTCGCCTTCTCGTAGGGCGTGTCGCCTTTCTGCTCTCTCTTCGAAGAGAACTGGGGACTCGCCAATTCGAATCTGCCTCTCCCCCGAACAACAATCACCGCTTTCGTCGACCTCGAGTTGTAATAAGGAGCAGTCATGGCACCTTTCTTGATGTTCACGAATCCGACTGATAGATCCAAATCCTTCAGCTGCTCGTGCTGTTCGGGAGAGGCTTCCAAGTGCTGTCCGTACTCGTTCCTCGACAATGGCCGCTGCTCGAACACATTGATTGGCCCCCAATTCTCCCCCTCTCTTCTTCCTCTCGACGATTCTGATTCTTGGCTCAATGCCCTGATCTGCTCTTCAGAGGCCTTGATTATTACCCCCTTGTCCTGCTGCCCGAATAGCCTCTTCAGATCCTTCCTCGGACTCTAAACAAACAGAAATTCATCTCCATAGTATCATCACAGCAAGATTTAATCTCAAAAAATATGGAAATATGGTTTAGCTTTTTCTCAGTTACCTTGAAAGCTGCTTCGAGTATTTCGTCGCTGAAAATATTGAAGAATGATTTTGGATTCTGTCCCCCCACACCGTAGAACGGCTAACAACAGAGAGTGGAGGTTTAATTTTCTGTAGTTTCAAGTAAATCAGATTATCTACGATTGGATCGATGTTACCTGAAATTTGCCTGGATTGTTTACAGGACGCATGAATTTCAGAGCGTAGAGTTTTGCTTCGTTGTCGTTGTTAATTATGTAGTTGATTGATGCTGCAGGAACCCTAATTACATCTCCACGCCTCAAATTGAACGATCGCCTCTGGTTCTGCCATATGTAGTTTATTGTTCCCTTCCCTGCCATTGTTGATCAATCGGTTAGCTCACGAAAATCCCTAATTAGAACAGAGAAGAACAAAATTCACCTCCGACGATCACGAAAACGGATTCAGCATCGACGTGGTGAGGGATAGCGATGGCTTGGGGATTTATTTCCAGGAAACCTATTCGATCGTTGTCTATTCCTTGGAGGAGCTCCGATCTCTCGGAAAACCTCTGGAGAACTTTGAATTGCCCTTCCTCGGTTTTGAACGTCGTATCGAACCTCTTCGACTCGAAATAGTATGGATTCTCGCTTTCCTGTTTCTCCTCTTCTCCTCTGCTCGATCGGCGATTCCCCTCGCCGCCTTGCTCTCTTCTCTCCCTCTCGAATTGCTGGCGACATCTCTGCTGGCAGTACTGCCTCCGCTCTCCTTGCTCCGCTTCGCATCTGCTCTGGCACTCTCTGAATCGCTGCTCAGGATCACGGCGGCTCTGCTCCTCTACAGTACAAATCCGTACGGTATCGTACAGTTTCAGTTACAGATTAGGAACGGTTTCCTTTTCCGCCAAATTAAAACTCAATTGAAAAAAAAAAAAAAAACCCTAAATTAACATCGCCGAAATTAACATATAATTACCTCCGCCACCGCCGCGGCGGCGCTCCTCCTGTTGCTCCTCCTTCTGCTGCTTGAACCGCCCCACACATTTCCTCTCGCAGTCGGCGGATCGTCCCTCGTTCGGCTGCTCCCTGCTGCACCTTGTGAGGCACTCGATCAGCCTTTCCTCTGGAGATTTGTCGTCGTCCTCCTCCTCGCGCCTGGTGTCGCAGTGAGAGGGGAGGATGAGAAGAGCGAGAACTAGGAGAGAAAGGAGAGTGAGCTTAGTAGTGAAGTTGATCGCCATTGTTGGATGCTGAAGTTGCAGTGAAGGAGAGCGGTATTTATAGGGCGGGAAAATCGTGCATGGTTGACACGTGTGGCTTCATAGCGTACGTGTGTGAGAATGAGGAAACTTGAAGTTGCATGCAGTCTGAATAATATTTTTAATTTAATAATAATAATCTAAATTTAGGTTGCGGACAAACCCCAACGCTTCTCACGTGGCGGTCACGTGATAACGAGTAAAACTCGAATAGTACGAATGTCTTTGTTTTTGATTTGGATTTGGATTGTCTATTTTAAATGTTATGAATGTTTTTATTTAGTATTTTCTTTTTTACTATATATTAATAGTAATTGTTTGTAAAAATATATAGACTAAATTTTTTATTTTTTATTATTATTTTTTTATTTAAATATATTAATTATTATATCAAAATATAATACAATTTAAGAGAAAATAACAAAAAATACTTATATAAATGTCTTAGAATATTAATATAATAATATTTGTATAAAATAATACAAATATAAAAATATTTTTAATATTAAAAATAATGACAATAAAAAATGAAAAATTTAATTTTGGACGAAAGTAGTATATATTTTTTAAAATATAAAACTTTGTTCTTTTAATAACAAATTTTAACATATTTTTTTAAAAACATAATATATTATACATTCTTTATTTTTGTATTTTCTAAATAATTCTTCATCTCTCACCTAAAAATATCAAAATGCAAAATAAACACACTAATTTTATTTTTTTTCCCATCTCGAATAGGTCTAAATAAGTATATATATATTTCTTAAAGTAACTATAATTTTTATATCATTTTTTAAAAAACCCTTCCAATGGTATATTATTACAAAAATACCATTATCATATACTATCTTTGTCCATTAATATTTTTTTTTTATTTACTTGAGACACAAATTTAGGTATATTAATATATTATTGAAGTGTAATATAAATAATATATATAAAGACAATTTTGTAATTTTTTTTTTATGTAAAAATAATAATGTAATAATAAAATAGAGGTATTTTGTATTTATGTGGATGTAACTTTATTTTTTTTTATAAAATAAAATGAGAAAATTTAAATTGACAAATTAAAATAAAAAGATTTTAAGTAGCGAGAGTATATTTTTTTATAGCAGTTGCGTTTTAGGGGTAAAATTATAATTTCCTACTTTTATTGTATTACATGCCTATGCACTCTATATATATATATAATTATATTGAAAGTATTATTATTATTATTATTATCTATTTTATTTTAATTTTTTTATTATAATAAATTTAATTTTACATTTAAAAGAAATTTAATTATACATTTTAATTATATTTTAAAATTTCTAATATATAAATTTTTTTATTTTAATTAAATTATTTAGTCATCTTAATCTTAATCTATAATTATTTTTATTAAATCATAATTATTTTTACTAATATATTTTAAATTATTTACTAATTACACAATATTTAAAAATTTCTGCCTAAGGTAAAGTAGACAATTAAGTGGAATGAAGAAAGTATTATGTAAATAATAATAATAACTACTCCCTCAATCCCAATACAATAGTCTTATTTACTATTTTTGTTCGTTTCAAAACAATAATTTTATTTCTATAAATAATCATATAACTGTATAACTACTCTTACTCTTTCATTATTATTACACAATTGTCACTACCTTTTACACTAATACACTCAGAAGGGCAAAAAAATCTTTTACCCGTACTTTTTACCCACTATTAATATAATATTAATATTTTTAAAATTTTATGTTCTATACAACTCAGATTATAATTTTGGAACGGAGGGAGTAATATTAATAATAGAAATTAAGTAGTATAAAAATTTGAACTCCAAACAAATCTAAATGGGCCTCTTGTTGGGCCTTTTATTGTTTATCATGGATTCTTGTACTCCCACGTTTGTGTCTTTCTTTTAATGTTTTTTTACTATTAATTTCTTTTAAGAAAAAACGAATTAAATAACTATTTTTTTATTTAAAATTTAAATTTAAAAATCAAAGTCTACAAACAAATACACACTATTATTATTAGGAGATTTTAGTAAATTTCCTTTATATAGGGGATTTTTAGAATAGTTTTTTTTTTTTTTTTTAAAATATAATTTGATCTCGACTTTTTATAAAAATGAATTATTTTTTTTTAAAATGAATTTTGTATTCAAATAAAAAATCAAAAGCAAACACTCTTAGGTTGTGTTTGGTACAGACAAATGAAAATGGTATCATTTCTCTTATTTGTTTGAGTTAAAAAAATATAATTTGAGAAATAAATCATTTCCATTTATGTTCTCATTTCTTTCCCATATGCAGAGAAATGAAGAAAAATAATGTTGTAGTATATATTTTTTTTAATTTTTAATTTTTTTTTTACTATTTAATTTTTATAATTTTTTTAAAATTATATTATTTCAATTTTACAAAAAAAACAAACTTAATTTATTTTTAAAGTATGTAATTTTTACTATCTTTTAAGAAATTGTACTATAATATAATCTTAAAAAAACATCGTATATAATTTATAATTTTTTAAAAAAAATTCACCAAAAATATTTTTCATGAATTCTCATTCGTTAAAACTCTCTCTTTATTCGGTTAATTATTTATTCTTGTTTGATCATTCATATATCTACATTTTTTTTTTATATTTCTCAACTGAATTCTCTGTTTTATCAAACAAGAGAATTAATTCTCATTCTTTACTCAATTTCATTTCTCTCCGATTCCATTCTCTATTCTCATTTCTCTGCAATTCCATTATCTGCACTAATGTTAAAGAGTTTTTTCAATAAGACTCTTCAAAATGATTGTATAGTAGTCGAACCGATGAATTGAACTGAGTTTTTTGTTAACCGAGCAAATTCGGTTCGAATACAAATACTGCATATTTGATATTTATTCTGTTCAGTTGGGTTTGATTTTTAATACTCCATCTGTCCTATAACAAAGTATCAATTTCCTTTTTTAGTACTAAATACCCTTACAACTTACAATATATTACACAAATGTCATTACCTTTATATCATATATACTAATAAGGTTATTTTAGTCATTTCTACTTTATTCATACTATATTCCAATATAATACTAATATTTCTAAAACTACGTACAAAAAACAAATGAATATTTACTTATGGGACGGACGGAGTATTTTCTTTTTCGATTCGGCTAACCGAACGAAATATATTTATATTATTATATTTTAAATTTTATATTAATAATTATATTTGGTTCGATTTCGGTTGGATATTTGAAATATTTGCAAATTTTTTTTTTTTTATGTAATTAGAATTTTAATTACTTTTAATATATATATTTAATATCGATTTGGTTCGAATTATTTTCTAATATTGCAAATATTTTCGGTTCTGATGCAATTAGCAATTTCAGATATTTGTTCCATTTGATTTGAATATCACTGCATATTTGCAGATACTCGAACCATGCCCCACCCATTCATATCACTATTTAATTATGGGGGTATTACACAAAGTCAATTTAGATAAAAGTTTTGAAAATTTTTAAGAATAATTAAAAATGAGGTATTTGATGTTATAGATTATACGAAAAAATATTTGGTTTGATTTTTTATTTTTTAAATAAATTATCATTAATAAATAATTACAAAATTTTCAAAAGTGTGTATAAAAAAGGGTTTGTTCATATTTATTTTTTTGGTGGCATAATTTTTTATTTATATTATAAAAATTATAATATATATATATAATACATACTATATCCATACATGTTAAATAATAATTCAAAATAAAATATTATTTTTATATTATTGATATAATTTTTTATATTTAACATAAAAATCACATTTATTTAAAATTACAAAATAAACACATTAAGTTTGAACAAAAATATATGTAACTTATGACTTAGAATGTATAAAAAGGAAACAACCAACAAAGGTAATCCAACATGATTTAAAATACTCTTTAAGGGTGTGTTTGGTATAGGAAAATAAAAAAATAAATAAATATTGATGCAGTATGTTTATTAGTTTGTTTGTTTTTTCTTTTTAAAAATTATATTATTTAATTTTTATGATTTTTTTTTTAAAAAAATATACTATATTATAAACATTACATTTAAGTTATTATCTGAACGAAAAAATCACAAAAAATATTTTTTTATATATAAATTCTCATTTATTATTGATTGATTAATCTAGATTAATATATTTTTTAATATTTCTTTCGTCCCAATACACTAGGCTTGTTTACCATTTTTGTTCGTCCCAAAACAATAGTTTCATTTCCATAAATAATCATATCACCATAAAACTATCTCTATTTTTTCATTATTATTACACAATTGCCACTACTTTTTACACTAATATACTCACAAGGGCAAAAAATTCATTTATTCTTACTTTTTGCCGACTACCAATATAATATCAATATTCTTTAAATCTCGTGTCCAACACAATAAGACTATACTTTTGGGACAGAGAGAGTATTTTTTAATTGAATTTCTTATTTTATCAAATAAAAAAATTAATTCTTATTTACACTGAATTTGTTTTTTACAATTTTATTCTCCACTTTAATTTATTTGCAATTCAACTCTTTATATCAAACCCTAAACATCAAGTTGAAATCAATAATATACTTATATATAAAAAATAATTTTAATAAATATTAAATGAGTATAATGTTTCTTACAAAAATATATTTTATATTTAAAAAAAAAAATTATGCACTTCCATAATATTGTATACTCCCTCCGTCCCGGTGCAAGGTTGCCGTTTACTTTTTACACGTAAATTTTTTAATATTAGTATTATAATGAGTGTAGTAAAAAAAAAAAAGATAAAAATACCCCTATTAGTATCGTGTAATATAAAAGTAATGATATTTGTGTAATATAGTGTAAGGTGGAAGGGTATTTATTATGTTAGGTAGGTAGTACAATAATTAAATTAGAAAATGCTAACCTTGTTTTGGGACGAACGAAAATAAAAAATGACAATCTTTCAGTGGGACGGAGGGAGTATTTGAGTCCAACAGTAACATGCATATCTATGGGTGTGTTTGTTTGGAGGTTTGAATTTTGAGTTAGGATTTGAATATTAAAAAATTTGAATTTGAATAGTTGTACGATGTAATATAAATAGGTGTGATGTGATATATTGAATATAAAATTAATTTTTAGAATAATATAAAAAATAAAAAAATAGGTGTTTAATATCATATTTATTAGGAAAAAATTTTAGATGAATAGTAAATTTTTGGGAAAATCCCTCGAACAAACACACCCATTAAACTATTCATATTTACTTTACCATATTGAACACGGAAATATGAACATATTTTTATACAAAATAATCATATATCCTAAGCTTTAAATATATATATATATATATATATATGTATTAATTAATATGATTAATTAGTGTTAGGTAATCAGCCATAAAATTTCTACCATAAAAAAATTCAATACATGACAAATATTCATTCAACAACATTCCATACATATTTCTAATATATTAAAATAAAATATATATATATATATATATTAAAATCAAGCTTAATCAACAATTGTATATTGATTTCGATGAAATGATTGAGCATTAAAATTTAAGATTAAGATATTGTCAAATTCGAACATATTTGAAAATTCAAAATTTTGTACAAAAATAAGTGAATATAGTTTAATCAGTCATATTAAAAAATAAAATAATACTACATTCATCGGTTTATTTTTAGGTAGAATTTAATAAAAAATTAATTTTAATAATAGTCGGTGATATATTTATTTTCATTAAAAAGTTATCTTACTCTTCTACTTTAATACTATGATATAATTCATTTTTTCATGTAATATGCTCTTTTTTTCTTTTTTCTTTTTTTTTTTCGAATAAATATCCATTTATTTTTTACATGTAAAATATTAGTATTGTATTATATTTGTATGTAGTATAAATAAAAAAGATAGAACAAAAATCTTCTTATTAATATTGTGAAATATAAACATAATGACTGTATAATAATATTTGTGTAATAGATTATAAATTGTAAAAGTATTTTTAATATTAGGTTAGTACAATTACTAGAAAAAAAATATTTTATTTTGGGAATAACAGAAATTAAAAAAAAAAAAAAACTTTCTTGTAGGAATATTACATAAAATACTCAACTCAAAATATAACATTAGATAATTAATTATTATAATTTAAAACTTTTATTATTCTAAAATGTATTTACCAAAACACACCAAAAATACATTTTTGGGTGTGTTTGAGGTATAAAAAATTTGAATTGAAATAGTTGTATGATGCGATATTTATATGTATTGATGTAATGTTTCGAATGTAAAGTAATTTTTAGTATAATATAAAAAGTGAAAAATAAGTATTTGATTTGATTTTTTTTTTAAAAAAATAAAATTTAACGGCCGGTAGAATTTGTTGAAAAAACTTATTATAATTTTTTTTTTCCCTTTATGTAGTAAAAAATCTTCAAAACCCCATAAATTCTAAAACTCTTATCCAAAGCAAGACTAAATATTTTCTTTTGCAATCAAATTTAAAAAAAAAAAAAAACAACACATGTTAAAAAAGTCATATGTATAGCACACCTATTACATCATGGAAGCTTTTTCTAGTTTACCAAAAAAAACATCATCCCATAATTTTATAAGGCAAAAAAAATTTAATGCATTGTATATAAATCATTACAAAATCACACTTTCAAGATACACAAAAATAATAATAATAATAATAATAACAACACAAGAATCCCTCGATACATCTACGACCAAGATTAAAACCCTCGATCCAACGGCTGTCATCGAATTAGGGTTCATGGAGTTTCCGGCAGCTACGGCGGCGGCAATTATTTTACTTCTTATGGCCGGAGGAGCGGCGCCTCAATCGGTGAGTCAATGCGCCAACGTGCTAATCACGATGTCGTCGTGTCTCAATTACGTCGGCGGGAGCGCCGACGCGCCTCCCGCGTCGTGTTGCTCGGCGCTAGCCAACGTCGTGAATACGCAGCCGCGGTGCCTTTGCTTGATAGTGAACGGCGACGGCGGATCGTTGGGCGTCACGATCAACCGAACCCGCGCGCTCGATATGCCTAAAGCGTGTAATGTTGAGACACCGCCGACCAGTAGATGCAACGGTAAGAAAAATTTTATGAGCAGAATAAGATCATCGTCGTCAGTTTGATAATTTTATGTTTGTATGTATATGGGTATATTTTTGTTTGATGGGGTTTTATGTCGTGGCTTAGAGGGAGGTGGACCGGCAATGGCGCCGGCGGGGTCGCCGGAAGGGTCGCCGGAGAAAGGTGAAGTTCTTGATTTTTATTTTATTTTATTTTGAAACACTTTGCAACGTAGCTAATTTATGTGTGTTGACAAATTTAATTGAAAAAAAATGTTACATAGTGAAAATTGGAAAGTTAAGTAGTAAAATTTAATTAAAAGTATATATAATCTTTAAATTTAATATTAATGAAAGAGAATTTCCAAACCCTTTGGAATTTTATTTTTTTTGGTGTTTGTATTATTGAGAATTGTTAGAATTTCATGTTTAGGGTACCTTGAATTTACAATTTTTTAATGGAAAATAAAATTTTAAAACAATTTATTAGGAATATACGGTTTTTATTTGAAAAAATATCTTATTTGTTGACTTTATTTTTTTATTATTCAACTATCAATAAAAAAAAATCACATTAAAATATTATTTAATTTCATAAAATAGACCTGTGACCCATACAATCTTTTGCTCTTGCTAATTTGAATATAATAGTTTTTTTTTTTTAATGAATAATTATGTCAATTTTTTTTTTATTATCCCTCGAATTTATTTATAATTCATAATTTCATTACATGTATTTCAATAAATAATAACTAATTTATCACTATTTTTTTACTTAACAAATTATTTTATTATTAACTTTTTAGTAAATTTTCTATAATATTCACAATTAACTTTTTACTTATCTTATTTTTATATTAAAATACTATTTTTCTTAATTTCCATGTCTGAATATTGTGACATAATTGGCTTAAACAGTAAAAGGTATTATCTTTTTTTATTAAAGAAACAAAGTACTCCATCCGTCCTAATACAAGAGTCCTGTTTACCATTTTTTTTTTTCCCAAAACAATAGTCTCATTTTCATAAATAATTGTATCACTATAAAACTATCTTTATTTTTTTCATTATTATTAAACAATTGCCACTACTTTAAGGCAAAAAAGTCTTTTATCCATATTTTTTATCCACTCAGACTATAGTTATGGGACGAATGAAGTATTACATTGTAAAAAAATATACATATATATATATATATTTATCTTACTACTATACAAAGCCCTTTTTATTATTCTTTTTGTGTATACATATATAAAATAGAGTGTAACAAGTGAAGGTGTGCAGGAGGATCTAAAACAACATCAAATGGAAGCACAAGAAGAGTGATCAATTATGGTGTGTTTGCTGCCAACATCCTTATTATTGTCTTCTTCCTTACAACCAAAATCACACCACCAGCCATGCCCTGAATTTATACATCTATAGACAAATACATACATACATATATATATATATTATATCTATATTACATCTTCAACAATTTCAGACAGACACTTCCTGTATTGTAACCATTGTGTGTTGTTTCTATTTGGTGCTTTCTAATAGTCTCTGTTGTTGCTATTACTACTACTTCGAGTTATGACATTGAGATTTCTACTAATCTGCGTAATTACTAATAGGCGGCAGTTACTGTGCTAACCATAAGTACTAATCACCGTTGTGACAACGTCGTCACGAACTTTTTTAGGACCATAAGCAAAAACAAATGATATGCCTTATAAATAAATGATTTTTTTTTTAAAAAAAAATACTATCAACGAACAATATAATAACAAATGCCAACAAATATATATATATATTAATCATATATAATAAATCAAATATATGTGTCGCGTAAAGAATGATCGATTGGTGTGGAAAGGGACTGCCAGACCTAGTTTGTGATACATATGTTGATTATTATAAGACTTCACAGTATCTTAGACTATTATATAGTCAATGATTCAATAATAATAACTACAAATTTTAAAGGCAAGGTATATAAGATTATAAAAAATCTGATTAAAATTTATTAGAATTATAATTGGATTGGATAATTGTAGAAAAAAAATATGAAATAAAATTTAAATTAAATTTTAATATATCTAATAATAATTATGAGCTTTAAAAATATTTACTAATTCTAAAGGCTGAGTAAGATGTGATTAATTTTAGAAAAAATAAGGGATAAATTTTACATTAAAGTTTAATATATCTAATAATAACTAACATTAAAAAATTTGGGCCAAAGACCCTGAATAATTGCTCAGGTTGCTGTTGCTAAGAGTTGACTCTGATGACAACACACAAAATATGAACAATTGCGCAGGTTGCTCTTGCTAAGAGTTGGCTCCGATGACAACACAGAACAATTGCCCAGGTTGCTCTTGCTAAGAGTTGGCTCTGATGACAACACACAATATAAAAAGATAGCACATGATATATATTAACATAGTACAAATACAATACATGAACTAACAGTACATAACATAACATACTACAATTGATTAGGACAACCTCGTTGCAGGTAATTCTAACCACTATACTACAAAGAAGAAATGAAACAATCGAAAATAATGTTATCATCGACTAACACAGGCCGCGGAGGACTTCTCCATAACCATGCTGATTTTATATATCCGGAAATAATTACACTTGATTTTCAGGAGCGAACTATGGTAATAACCGTTGACATCCAAAACATATATATATATAACTGTATTCCAAAAAGGTAAGGACATAGGTTGTCGAAAACATTACCTACAAGGAATTTGTATTTGTTTCTACATCCTTGTCACGCATCTGCAAGGCGATATGCTGCTTAATAAGTAATGCTTCAAGTAGAGATTGCGTTTTTGACGTAATACTTCAAATGAAATAGTAAATACGATGAAAATGTAGTTGAAAACACAAATAATCTCATAGATCGCCATATTTAGTAAATTTTTCGGGTGATATGGTTGTATTAAAAATTAGGCTTATCAACAGAATGGAATTAACATAACGGAATGAGAAAAGAAATCGAACATTAAACTCACCTTAACGAGATCGAGACCGCATAAATTCTTCAAGTTTGTCCCACACCTCGAGGGCTGCAGCTCGATCTTGATGTCGCTTATTTTTGCTAATCTGCATATGAAATCTAGTCAACATTCCATGATCGGTGATCAAGACTAGTTGTGGAACTGACCGAAATTATCTTGACATTCCATTGCTTCACAGTTTTCGCAGATTCCACGCTGTCATCCTCAAACCGAATGTAAAATCCAACAACTGTCATAAATCCGGTATACGCTATTAATGGATCATCCATTGCATTTATTCTAGCATTAAAACCTTATTTGCACATTGCATAGAGGAAAAGGTACCCGAAAACAAACAAGATATTCAACACAAAATCCTAACACATCAAGATTTCACATAACATATAAATCAAGATGTTTTTCTATTGATGCCAATCCAATTAACCTAATCAACAACCTCCTAAAGAGAGATATAAATGAGCAAGGCGTGTTCATTTGGTATATATATTTTTTTTCTACTATTCAATTTTCACATTTACTGTTCGCCCCTGAGTGGAGATATGCGAAACTTGCATATGCATATACCGCAAATAGGGACGGTGAGACTCGAATTCGAAACCTAGCATAGGGTTTCGTACCATGTATAATCAATTTATCTGCAAACGGGGTCCCCATCAACTTAGTTTCACCGAATAGAATAATCAATTCTCATTTTATGTTGAACGGTCGCTATTCTATTCTCTACTATCATTTGCCACCTATTTCAATACTAAACACACCATAAATGTATTCCACATGTTGACATGGAAAATCCAACGACGAGGCTATGTTTAAGCAAGCAAGTAAACAAACAAAAGCTCAATGAACACAAATTCAATGTTTAGGTAAAATCCTCACCCTTATTGAAGATTTCTACATGATCCTTGAAAGGCCAGTCTTTGAACTGCCACTCCTTCCCAAGAACAAAGACTGCAACCACTCGATCCCAATCGTCGGTCTTGAGTGCAGATGGCTTGTCCCTAACCTCATAAGCTGTCACCACACGATCCCTACTGAACTTCTTCTGCACTGTCACACAATCAGGCTTTCCCCCTTTCATCTGCTTCAGCTTCACATCATTTGGAATGTAGACTCCATCCTCCAAAAACTCTTTTACATTATACATGGTGATCAGTGTAGAGAACGCACTCGGAACCAAGATGATCGGCACGCCATCCCCAATTTTACGCATCTTTGTTGCCTCCTCGCCGATGGTGAATCCTCTGCTCTCGATTCGATTCTTTGCAACTATGTTGTCCTTTCTCTGCAATGCTTCCATCCTCTGCCTCTCCTCGTCGCGTTTTGTGGCTGAAATCAATACGCTGTAGAAATCGCGCTTCTTAAACACCAGCATTGCCTCGCGATCTTTAATCGGCCGCTCCTTTGCCCTAATTAGCTCAATCAATTTCACGCCGCTCTCCAAATTACCCTCTGCGGTCGATTCCGGCTGAGAATTGCGATCTGGAATAACAATTTGGGTGTTGATGTTGGGGAATTCGAGCGGGAGAATTGAATCGGAGGATTGGACTTTTCCGGTGAGGTAATCGAGCAGAGGCTTCCGATCGGGGAGAGTGACGGCGGGGATGCGGAGGGAGCGGGCGTTCTGGATGTAGTCGGTGTGCTTGAGGTGGTGATTGGTGATGAAGTGAACTAGGGTTTCGAGCGTGTAGCGGCGCGTCTGCTGCACGTTCTTTGAACGGAAGGCGGTCTCGATCGCCGCCGGGAAGGAGTAGTCGGTTCCAAAGCGGAAGTCGTCCTTGACTCGGACGATCTTGTCGAGCGAATTCCGGATGGTGTACTCCCGGAGGAGCGTCAGCGGATCCATCGGAATCGGAGGCGTAGCTGCGGAGGAGCTCCGGTGGGGTTTATGTAACGGAAAGAATGATATTATAATGATTCATAATTGAGGGACTAATTCTAACGGCGCCTCCTGTGCAGAGACGGAGTTGAATCTTGTTTGATAATATACATAAGTGGATTTTGAGCTAGTAAAAAATTTGAATTTGAATAGTTGTATGATATGATATAAATAGGTGTTCACTTAATATTTTGAATGTAAAATTGATTTTTAATATAATATAAAAAATAAAAATTAGATATTTGATTTAATATGTTTGAAGAAAAAATAAAATGAACAGTGGAAATCTAATCCAATTCTCGTACTGCTGTCTGTTCGTTTTTATAATTTGTAGTTTTAAATATTAAAATTTTCAATCAAAATAATTATTTAATATAAAATATATATTTATATAATATTTTAAATATAAAAGTAAATTATATTTTACACTTTATATTAAAATATAATACAAATTAAAAAGAAATTACAAAAATATTTTAATTAATGACGATTTTTTAATGATACTAATCAAAATATTTAAATTTTTTATTTAATACTCTCTTCGTCCCAAATATCATGTCCACGTTGCCGTTTATATCCATTCTACGTGCCATGTTATTTTTCTTTTTTTAAAATGATTACACACTTTAATCTCATTTAAAATTTTTTAATTTTATTTTTTTTAATTTTTTAATTTAAATTAAATTAATTAATTATCTTAATCTTAATTTATAATTATTTATATTATAGAATAATTATTTTCACTAATATATTATTAATTATCTATTAATTACATTATTTTAAAATAGCATGTATGCTGGGACGGAGGGCGTAATATTTTTATGTATATTTTTTAGAAAAGCAAAACACACACCGGTAAAATTTACATTAAAAACCAAAATTACAATTTTCAAAATCATCTACCAAACACATCTTTTTACCATTTTACATCATACTGTCTAATTATAGTTTTTTTATTTTTAAAGAAACTTCCCTTCCATGTCACAATGACGAAGAAGAACAGTCGTGGCGGACAATGCTGAACACAGCTTCATCGACAGTTTTCCCCTTCAACACTCGATACTTCCTCAGCACACCCTCCTTCACAAACCCAGCCTTCTCCAGCACTCTCTGAGACCTGCCGTTCTCCACATCCACCATCGCCTCCACCCTCTGCAACTCCGGCAACTCCTCAAATATTGCGCCGCCTACCATCTCCACCGCCCTCGTCATAATCCCCTTCCCCCAATAATCATACGCCAGCACGTACCCCAGCTCCCCCCTGCACCGGTCGCCTCCCGACCCCGGCGTCACCGTTATCGTCCCTACGGCTCGGCCGTCGACGCAGATCGCCCGCAGCCAGGGGTGCGGAATCGCCTGGTTTTGTATGTACTCCACTGCTTGGTCGCGCGAATTGTAGGTTTCCCACAGGCAGAATTTCGAAACCCTAGGGTCTGTGGCCCAGACCATGAAGTCATCCACGTCGGTTAGAGCTATTGGCCGGAGAATCAGATCGGAGAAGTCCCGAGGACCTGATTTTTCCGCCATTAACAGCCTGGACGAGCTTTGAGGTGAGGTTTTGTGGGGAAGAAGAATTTGGGGATTTCTTTATTGGGAATGGGAAGATTGGGGAACAAGAAAGTGCTTAATTGTATGTTTTTGGAAGATATGGGGTCAATGTGTAATTTGTGTAAATATCAGGAGGGGGTGAAGTGAAATTCTTGTCGATTAGCGATATCCGGTTTGGTCTGGTTTCGTTTGCCATCGTTCTGCTGTTTCGTCATACGGACAGAAAACAAACAGTGAGTGGTTTAGTTTACGCCATTTTTCTGCAATTGATAATGGGATTTGTTTCTTCCATTGTTGAAATTACCGTCCCGGAGGTTTTTTTGTTTTCTCAGATCCGCGACGCGGAAAGTCAGGGCGGAATTGGATTTCATCTGAATTATGTCCAGCTCGCTGCGGCGCGATCCCGAATCCGAAGCTCTTTTGGATTCCAGATATCGTGAGTAATCGTTTTGTGCGAAATTCTAGGGTTTTTTTTTTCCCAAGATTTTTATCTGTTGTTTAGGTTAGAAAACCATAGATTGATGATGAATGGTTGGTTGATTGCTTCGTGTATCGTTTATCCAACATGAAATTCTTCCATGTCCAGTGTTTGATTTGTATTCCTAATTAGATTGACTTACTGGTTTTACAATCAAGAAATAGGTTATGATAAAGAAAGGGGGTGCATTTTAGAACAGATGCGCTTGTTGTTTTGGGGGTAGGGAAGAAATCACAATGGATACCTGTAATGTTCTATGCTGTGCTTCCATTACGAAGATAACATGTGTCAGCGCTCCTTTATAGCGAGCCGAGGGCGTTAAAGTGATGGAATTAGTTGACCTGTGATAGAGCACCATAGTTGGATGAACTAGTTAGGTCGTCTACGTCACAAAGATTCTTAAGCTTGGTCGGAATGAGAACCTTGACTGCATAAGTGGGAGAGAATGTAATATCCTAAAGTTTGGGATTCTTTTTTCGGGTTGTTACCGGGAACTTTAATTTGTTTGAAGATAGTTTTAAGATGTGGACAGAGCTTGTTGAAATGATTCGTGTTGATCTATAGGCGTAAAATTTCCATTTTTTGCGTTCTCTTTCTTGTGAGATGTTGAAAGGTATATTATGTTGCATTTTTCACGGCACGTATTGAGTTCCAATCATGTTTTGGTGATCGCACAGTATTGATTTTTATGAGACCTTTTGGTGCTGACTACATGTATATTTCTGCGGATTATTTTATTTTTTACACGTGTCCTCTTTTAGACGTTCCTGTTGGCTGTTGTGCTGCAGGGAAGGGGGATGTATCGATAACCAATTTGGATGAAGATGTTTCCTTATCCAATAGAAATGTTCCCCGCAAGAGAAAATGTTCTATCAACTCCATAAAATGCTTTGGAGTGGAATTAACTCCCGACAACATTGCCGTTGCTATGGTATATTTTGTACAAGGTGTTCTAGGCCTCTCCCGGCTTGCGGTCAGTTTCTACTTGAAAGATGATCTGCATTTAGAACCTGCAGAGGTAAGCGCGTCGATTGAATTAGGTCACAGTGATTTGTCAATTCTTGGCCTTTCTAATCTTCTATTCATATGTATAAATTTGTGAAAGTTATATGTCAATTTTCGAAAATAATAGTACGGATTTAAATGGTTCTCTTGCAAAATGATTCTACATCTGTTTCAGCATAAATGGTGCATATTAAGAACTAGATATGATGTCGAAGATAATAGTACAGATATAAACTTAAATTTAAATTCTCCTGTCGATATAATTCGAGATTTGAAATTGTTTGTGGTTTACTAGACAGCCATCATATCCGGTGTATCGACATTACCTTGGCTTGTCAAACCCCTCTATGGATTCATCAGGTGCGCCCAAACTTAATAAATGTTTTATTTTATTTTTTTCTTTCGGAGGCTTTAAATTTCTAAAACTGCAAAGGAATGTCCCTTTACAGTGATTCCATCCCACTATTTGGCTATCGTAGAAGGTCGTATTTGGTTATGTCGGGACTTCTAGGAGCCTTATCTTGGAGTTTGATGGCAACCTTTGTTAACAGCAAATATGGTGTTGCTTTCTGCATTTTTCTTGGATCTCTTTCTGTAGCATTCTCCGATGTAGTAAGTACTCAATAATTCGATTCCATAGTCATGTATTTGTGTTTTGAAATCGAACCATCGATCAACTATATCCACACATAAAATCAGAAGATTGCAGTAATTCTATTGATATGCGAAGTTATCTCTATTCGATTTTTTTTATCTTTTCCACCTGTCACAGGTTGTCGACTCCATGGTTGTTGAGAGAGCTCGCGGCGAATCACAAAGCATGTCGGGATCACTTCAGTCCTTATGCTGGGGTTCCTCGGCTTTTGGCGGGATTGTTAGTTCCTACTTTAGCGGCTCCTTGGTTGGTGCTTACGGTGTTAGGTATTCCGAACATTCGATTTTTCCTTTTTTTTGAAAAAAAAACTATCGCATCTTACACTCTTACTCATAAACAAATTATGATATTCGCAGGTTTGTCTTCGGATTAACTGCTTTACTCCCCTTAATAACATCTGCAGTCGCAGTCCTTGTGAAAGAGCAACGAGTTGTCAATCTACCGAGGGTGCAGAATACTTTGTTAAACGATACGAGCTTTGTAGCAAGCTCGAAGTATAGTGTAATGCAGTTATGGGATGCTGTGAAGCAACCAAATGTTTTTCTTCCGACCATATTTATTTTCCTGTGGCAAGCGACGCCGCAGTCTGATTCTGCCATGTTTTACTTCACGTATGTCGATTCTAGATGCTCGGGTTCTTTAATTTTCGTCTTCTTTTTTAAATTTATGATGCATTGCAAGATCCGGTTATTAATGTTCGTTCTTTTTTTTTCTTTTTTTTTTTTTTTTTTTACTTTCAGTACGAACAAACTTGGATTTACACCTGAATTTCTAGGTCGCGTGAAGCTCGTCACATCAATTGCATCGCTTCTCGGTGTCGGACTTTACAACGGTTTTTTGAAAAGTGTTCCTTTGAGGAAGATATTTCTTGCGACTACAGTTATCGGTTCTGCTCTCGGGATGACTCAAGTAAGGCTTACTTTGATTATTTTTCGCCTTCGATAATTTCTCGTTCAAATTTGAAGCAAATTCGATGCTGCTTATAGGTTCTTCTCGTCACCGGAGTAAACCGGAATTTAGGCATCAGCGACGAGTGGTTTGCTATCGGCGATTCGTTGGTAATAACCGTTCTCGGACAGGTATTTTTCTTTCGCTTGCTAACGAACACCGACGTCGTTTACGCCATTTTTGCGCTTTTTTTCCTTAGAGTTTCTTCGACAGGTATCCTTCATGCCGGTTCTTGTATTAGCCGCGAAATTATGCCCGGAGGGCATGGAGGCGACGCTTTTTGCGACGCTAATGTCCATATCGAACGGCGGGAGCGTCGTCGGGGGTCTTATAGGCGCGGGACTAACTCAGCTCTTCGGAATCACCAAGGATCGATTTGACTACCTAACGTCACTTATTATTCTATGCAATCTCAGTTCGCTGTTACCACTCCCGCTCCTGGGCCTCCTCCCCGACGACGCCGTAGACGCCAAATCGGAGAAAATCGACGACGACGACATTGAAATGAAATCTAATTGAATCTTGCTCGTCGCCGCTATCACCATGATGACGACAACGACGTGCTTTGTGTTGATAGATCGAATGGTCAGACGGAGCTTATCGTTATTGGTTTTTATCGGTTTGTTCGATGTTTGACGGCAACGAAAACCCGGACCCGAGAGTGTTGTAATGCTGGAAAATTGGCTGGAAATTGACATGGGAGGTGCTCCTTGTGCAGTTACAGGTACAGCTTCTTCTTCTTCTTCTTCGTAAGTTTTGAACAGCAAAATTAGAATTAGGACAGCTACCAACAATGATATGTCTCGTTTATGGCCAAGGGAAGAGTCCGAATCTATTGCTGTGTGTTTTTTTGACAATTTTTTTTTTTTTTTAAAAAAAATGCTTTGTTATTAAGTAAATTTAAAAAAATTATATTCCTTCAGTCTCATGTTTGTCTATCTATTTATTTATTTATTTTATTTATTTTTTAATAGTTTTTAGAAATATTAATACTTCCTCGTTTCATTAAAATTAGTTCATTTGGGCTCGATGCGAGAATTAAAAAAAATAAATATTTTATTGAAAAAACGATAGGTAGTTGAGAGTATTTTTGAAATTTTAGTTAAATAGTAAAGTAAATGAAGAGAAAAAATGTAATAAAGTTAGTGATATTTGTAATGGATGATAATAATTAAATGTTTGATTTGTTAATTTTGTCAAAAGTAGTAATGAGATAAATTTAGTGGATTGAGATAAAATAGAAATAAAAATAAAAAGATTAAATTAATTTTATAAGTATTGTATGATATATATGTAACGATATTTGTATAATATATTGTAAATTAAAAGGATATTTGTAATACTAGATAGATAATATAATTATACGGATCAAAATAGAAAAAATAAATAGACTGTCAAGATGGATGAAGTACTATTCTCTCTTAATATTAAACACAAACTTACTTTATCCTAATTGTATGCTCTCCTCAATATTTGAAGTTAATTAATATATGTGTAAATATTTATTTTATGCTGGATAATTAAAGTAATGTAAAAATTATTTTGTTTATGTGAAAATAATGATGTAACGGCTGCCGGTAAAGTAGGAGTATTTGTAAGAAAAAAAAATTAAAATTATAGTTATTAAAAAAGACAATTATTTTGTAATTGAATAATTCAAAAGGCAAATTAATTACTAAAAAAAATAATTATTTGTAATTGGATAGTTCAAAATAAAGGAATATAAATTTAGGGGTGTTAATTCGAATAAATTTGAAAACACTAGAGGTTCGGTTTACATAATCAATTATTATTTACTTGGTACTATTTAATTTCTAAAAAAACATCAAATCAAATTTATTATCATTATTATTTCTCTTATAAACATTAAATAAAAAATTATTAATTTTTTATTATTTTCTTTAATCTTCAAATTTCTAAAAATTCAATCCAAACATAGCCTTTCAAAATTTAAAATACTAGAAAATGCATAGCCCGCAACATACCCTAAATTATTGCTTATAATTATAAGCAATGGATTCTCAAAGTCAAATTTTTATTGGCACTACATTTAATTAATTAATCATGATCTCAGTTATTGACAGGGACGGAACTACATTTGGATTTGAGGGGTCAATTGATCCTCCAAACCAAATTTTTTATAATTTTTTTTAGTATTAAAAATATTAATTTTTATGTATTTATATACAATTTTGTCCCCCTAAAATTATCTAAATTTATATATAATTTTGTTATTATTATTTATTTAAATTTATTAGCCAATATTAAATAAATTATAACATTTTGTCCCTCGAAGATTTATATGCTAGTTTCGTAACTGGTTATTGATTATAATTTTTGTGACTTATAATTTTAAGAAAAAATAACAACTATATTTTTATTTAATTTACATAATAATAATAATAAAAAATTCTTTAACCATGAAAGGGTTTGTTTGATTTTAAGAAAAGGGTGTGTTCGCTAAGATTTCAAATGTACAATTTTAAAGTAAAAGCAATTATTTCATTTGCTATATTATATATATAAAAGTTTAATATTATTTTTTTCCAAATAATATATATTAAATAACAAAAATTAGAATAAATATATACAAATGAATAAATTCTCTTTTGTCGTCGAAAAATAGGCTCAAATTTAATTCACGACCAAACAAACAACTTGATATTTCAATTTCACTTGTTAATAATTTATAGGTTAAATCGCACAAAATCTACACGTAGTTTCACGAAATTGCGCCAAATTCCTCGTACTTTTAAAACTGCGTCAAACTTCCTCGTGGTATCATAAACTCTGCGTCTAACCCCCTCGACAATCCTTATTTTACGATATTTGACCTAAATGCGCCCAAACTGCAAATAAATTTTAGAATTTCAATTTCTAAACCCCTAAAATTACAAATATATTTATTTTTCTTATATTTAGCCTCAAAAAATATTACAAATAAACTCTTAAAACCTCATGAAAATAACTATATTTTAAGTATATTTACTATTTTTTAAGGCTAGATATAAGAAAAATGAATATATTTGTAATTTTAGGGGTTTAGAAATTTGAGATTTTAAAATTTATTCATTGGGCGCATTTAAGTCAAATATTGTAAATAAAAGAAGTTTGATGCAGTTTTAGAAGTACAGGGGATTTGACTCAATTTCATAAATTTTGTGCAATTTAACCTAATTTATATATATCATGTCTAATTGCAACATATTATTATTATTATTATTATTAAAAAAATCATGAATAGAAGTTTTAAGATAGTAATTATTGAGCAAGGATCAATGGATGTAGATAATTGATTAGACAAGAATTGGGAATTTTCATATGCAATATTATTGTGTCTTAATAATTGAGTTCTATAAAGTAAATGATGCCATAATTAATGATTTATTAACGTTACGTGAAAGAAAGATATTAATATTTTAAATATTTAATTAGGCCATGATTTTGATATTGATGCCCATAATGTTTTATTTATTTTTATCTATAATAATAATAATAATTTTCAATTTTGCATATGTATATGGATGTGAGATCTATCTAAATCAATTAATTAATTGCAAAATTATATAATAAATATTTAATTGTGTTTGAATAATTTAGATTTTTTTTTATAAGTAAAATTTAGATTTTTTTTTTAAAAAAAGTAAAATTTAGATTTTATATATAATATTAAAAAAATATGATAATTATATTAATGATTAGCATATACATTATTAATTTAATTTAATATTCTTTACAATAGTATCATAATTAATGTAATTAAATATATGTATTAAATGACCTATGAAGTTTCCCACTTCATAAGACATTTTCATGCATTAACTCAAAATTAATCACAACTATTTGTCAAACATATTTTAAATATTTATCACAATACTACATAAAAAATTATTGTAATTATCTAATGGTTTGAACTATTATTATTATATATTTATGATAAACTATAAGACTCGAATTCGAAATTTAAAACTCTGATATTATATCGAATACGCATAATGATCTTCTTCCCTAAAAGTTCAAAGTGTTAGAGAAACATATTATTAATATATTTATCTGCAAATAGGAGTATCAACATTTTTTTTTATGTAATTTAATATATTTTTATACTAGATGGATACGTTTATAGTATTATTCAATATATTTTGTACGTAATTTAAATAAATTTCTTTTTATAATTCATGTCATTCGATATAAGATTTTTGAAATTATATTACTATCCTCATATCTAATTATATTTAAAGCATATAATTTATTAATGAATGATTAAGATCACATTGAAGTTAAGGGAATAAGCATACAAAGTCACATTTAAGGATATGGTAAAGTAATTTTTTATACTATTATTCTATTCATAAATTTGGATATTCATATTTTTAGACGGCTTGAAAGAAAAAATAGATGAAAGATTCTCTAAGATACTTTATAGAGCTCTTAGGACATAATATTTTCCTGAAAGAAATGAACTTAAACTCGACCAAAAAAGTAAAATTTTCATATAAATTGAATAAGATTATTGGAATATACAAATCAAATTAAAAAAAAATTTGAAAGAAAACATAAAATAATGAAAAATGAATAACAAGGAATATCAAGGAAAACTAAGATAAAAAAAAAAAAAAAAAAAAAAAAAAAAGAAGATAAAATTTTAGAGATCATTTAATCCATCCGTAACTCATAATTCCCAAACTTTTTCAATGTTCTATCAGACTCTCCTTCACTGACATTTTCATGTGTTTAACTACTCTCTCCATCTCAAAATTATAGTCCGAGTTGTGTTTGACATAGGGTTTAAAAAATATTGATATTATATTGATAGCGGGTAAAATGTACGGGTAAAAGACTTTTTTGACCTTGTGAGTGTATTAGTGTAAAAAGTAGTGGCAATTGTGTAATATTAATGAAAAAATAAAGGTAGTTTTACAGTGATATGATTATTTATGAAAATGAGACTATTGTTTTGAAACAGACAAAAATTGCTAAACAAAACTATTGTATTGAGACGGAAGGAGTATATTTTTTCCGCCGTCTTAATTTCTTAGTAATTCTTAGTAAACTTTCTTGGTATAACAACCATATAATACATTCTAAATGATTTAAAAAAAAAAAAGAAAAAGCAGGAGGTTCAATATCTATCTTTTTATTTAAAATATTAAATTAAATTATTTATATGATATCAAATAGTTATTACTAAGTATAATTTAATTTTTACTATTAAAAAAATAAAAAATATACTAATACATAAACAATCAACAACACTTTCTTTTTTTTCTTTTTCTTTGTTTTCTAAAACAAGATCACACTTCATTTATATTTTTTATTCTAAATATTATATTAAAAATTTATTTAACATTTAAAACACTTATATATTATTTAAAATATACACCAAAGCCAATTTTTACTTAGAAAAAGTAAATCAAATTTAATATATATATATATATATATAAACTAAAAAAATTACAATTGAACATGCCCAAATTGACGACAATTACTGTGCTAAGTGCTACTAATAGACGATAGTATATAATAAACGGCAAATAATATACAATTTATATTAACATAATATATATAATATATAAACCGACAGTACATAACAAACTTAGTATATTTGTCCACAAAAGCATACTATCATTAATATTAATACATAAACATGTCCATATATACCATGACGGTCGACATGTATTTTCAATTAACTGTATTAATTAAAATTATATTGGTGTGTTTGTGCGTGGTTTTAGTTTTTGGGTTTGGATTTTGAATAATAAAAAAGCGAATTTGAATAGTGTAGTACTCTAAGGGTCACATCTACCTTTTGCATCATTATACTTAACATTAAAAATATCTTTATATTTGTATAATTTTTGTACAAATGTCATTCTATTAGTATTATAAGACACTAATGGAAATATCTTTGCAATTTTTTCTTAATTTATACTATATTTTGATATAATAATTAATATTAAATATCAACAGACAAAAAGTAAATGAAACCTTTAGAAGAGCTGAACGAAAGTAGTATAATATAAAAATAAAGTAATTATTTATTGTGATATTTTTTAAAAAAAAAAAAAAAAAAAAATCTGAACAGCGAAAACATGTTGTAAAATTTTAACACAACTATGTATTATCCGTAAAATTTTCATGTGGTGACAACATAACCTCTTCTGCCCATAATGTATCATAAATAAGAATATGGAAATGGAATGGGTGTATGTATTAATATATCCATATCCATATCTATGCAATAAATTGTGTTCCACAAATAAATATTTATTTTTGGCGTGGTGTTTAAGAAATAGTAGTATTTAAATTATAGTGGGTAGTTAAAAGTGGTGTAATAATATTTTTGTCCTTACTTTTTAGTGTAAAAGTAATGATGTGATGTAAAATAAATGTATTTGTGAAAAAATGTGAGATATTTAATGAAATATTTACTTTGTAATTGGACGTCCCAAAATAAAAATATGTATACTTTGTAACTGGTTGGAGGGAGTATTAATTAATTTATATTATAATGGCCTAGGGACAGTTGACATTAATGCAGAGGAAACATATAATACATTCAATCATTCATCTGCATAGGTTGGTTTACGCTGTTTATTTTATTTTATTTTTTCATAATCTAATTTCAATTTTTTATAATATAATTATTGTAATTTTCTATGTATATATTTTATAAAACATCGCATTTAAAATTACTAATCTTTCTCACTATTATTATTATTATTATTATTAGTATCCACACTTGGTGATATTAATTAGGGGTGTCAAAAGTAAATCCGATCCGAAAAATCGAACCCGTTCGACCTGAAATTTTTCGGATTCGGGTTTGGGTATTTCGGATTCGAAAAAAATCAGGTCGACCCGAACCTGAAACGAAAAAAATTCGTGTTGTGTTCGGGTCGTGTTTCAGGTTGACCTGATAACCTGAAATATCAAAATCAGATTAGATTTTGAGTTTCGTGTTTCGGGTTGACCTGAAATTTTTATTATTATTATTTTAATTTATAATATTTATATTATTTTAAATATAAAATAATATAAAAATAAAAATAAAAATGATATTTTTTTAGGTCAATTTATTTTTTTTTTAAATTTTCGGGTCTGTTTCGTGTCGAGTTCGTATCGGGTTTGTTCGGGTTTCGGGTGACCTGAAACTAATTCAGGTCAACCTGAACCCGACCTGAAAGAATTCGTGTCGTGTTTGGGTCTAGGGTTTCAGGTCAGATTTCGGGTTCGGGTTGACATTTTTTTGTTATCTTCATGACTCAACCCGACACGAACACGACCCAAAAATACGAATTGATACCCCTAATATTAATTTTGTTTTTCTGTTCAAATGAATATATAAAGTGAGAAAAAAAAATATTTATACAAAAACAGTAATAAAATTAAAAAAGTTCAAAATAAACAAAAAACTTCAGATGTATTTAATTGCGATTTCAAATCAAAATAAACAAAAATTTCAGATATATTTGATTGTGATTTCAAATCAACATATTGTTTAATAAATATATATTATTTTCTCTACAAAAATATCATATCAAATATTATATTCAAATAAAAATTATATTTCAAATCACAACCAAAAAAACACTTTACCTTTAGCATCCATCAATTCTTGCTGCTTGTCCACATTTTTTGAGAGTGGACATATTGCTGAAAAATAAAAATTCTTAACTGTTGACTGAATAATGATGTTTGATATATTTTTATTTTGTTTAATATATAAAAAGTCTTAAATGTATAATTTTATAATATGATTTGAGAAATTTATCTTATAATATATGATCAGATGTATAATTTCATGTAACACAATATATAACTCATATATCACATGCTTTTATAATTATGTTTTATGATGAAATACTAATTACTTTAAGTTAGTTGCTAATTTGGTCAAATCAGCACGGTACTGATAGTTAACACCTTAATTTTCGCCGGACAAAATATATGAAACAGGGGGATTAAATATATATTTACAGAGAAGAGTTACGGTGCTGATTTTTCAAAAGAACACACGTAAAATATAGAAACAATACATATCTTTGTTACATATAGCATATGGTGTTTGTAACCCAAACATGTGATATTTATTTATAAATTATAACGTGTGACGTATAAGAGTATGTAATGTACTAAAATCAATTGTTACATATATTAAGTGAAACTATCGCATGTGTCCGTTAATTCATATGTTGTATTTGTATTATATTAATATAAACGATGTATCATCAATAATATATCATGTATTTTATTAATATATTTGGTGTTATTTAACACAATGCTGAATTTAAAATTCAGCAATATAGCCGCAACCATATTTACATATATATCTTATAATCATATATTATCCTTGTTTGGAAGATTCACGGGTGTGTTTGTTTGGGGGATTGGATTGGATTTACATTATTCATCTCATTTTTTCCTTCCAAAAATATCAAATCAAACACTTATTTTTCATTTTTTATATTATACTACAAATCAATTTTACACAAAATATCACATCATACAAACTATTCAAATTCAAAATTTTTACTATTCAAATCCCAACTCAAAATTCAAACCCCCAAACAAACACACCCGTAGTATAATTCTTATTAATGAAATATTGAGAAAATTTCAATTTTATATTACAATATATATAATCGAACATCATATATATATAAATTAATTTCAATTAAAAATTTTACTACTCTCTCCATCCTATTGAAATGTTGTCATTTTTTATTTTCGTTCGTCCCAAAATAAGATTACTATTTCCTTATTTAGTAATTGTATTACTTACTTAACATAATAAATACCTTTCCAACTTACACTATATTACACAACTATCATTACTTTTATATTACACAATACTAATAGGGGTATTTTCATTTTTTTTCACTACAACCTATTATAATACTAATATTAAAAAATCTACGTGTAAAAAGTAAACGACAACCTTGCACCGGGACGCAGGAAGTATTTCCAATCAAAACAATCAAAAATAGAATTCTTCAATCATATTTTTTGGCAGACATGATACTAATTTGACCAAGACAATATATGCTATACGAGTGACCATCGTACGTTTATACATATCCCAACACATGTTGTGCTATAAGATAATATATATGTTGAATTATTTTACTCTCTCTATCCCATAAGAAAGATACCATTTTTCATTTTTGTCCGTCCAATAAAAAAGATATTATTTCCTAATTTAGTAATTTTACGATCTACTTGACAGAATTAATACCGTTACAACTTCCAATCTATTAAAAAAATGTCATTACTTTTATATCACGTAATCTAATAAAATATTTTTTGTCATTTTCACTATAAACCAATATAATACTACTGATTTTATGGGACGGTGGTAGTATAATATATAATGTATTATAAATATGTTAGAATATGTATAAATTTATACCGGTTACTCCTATAGTATATGCTGATCAGATCAAATCCTGAGTTGACCGAATCAACACAAACCCATACCCTATTTACTTCCCTTTTCACATGGCTCCCTTCTTCCACTCCTCTTTGTCCCTTTAGAACATGCCTCACCCCACCCCACCCCCCTAACTTGTAGTAATATTTATGTCGATGTAATATGCACCCCACCAATCCCAATATTAGGCATCGAAAGAAATTCAAAGCACTCACCTGCCAGAAAAGATCGATCTATCAACAATGGACAACACAATCGAATTGGCAAAGTGTGAGTGCTGTGGATTGAATGAAGATTGCACACAACACTACATTTCTCAAGTCAAGGCCAAATTCCAAGGCAAATGGCTCTGTGGCCTCTGCTCCGAGGCTGTCCGAGACGAATTCTCGTTATTACTTGGTCGACCAAAGGCCAAAAACATTAATAATCTTACAAACAAGCAGCAGTTTGGGGTGGATGATGCTGTGAGGGCACATATGTCTTTTTGCCGCAAGTACAACGCGAATCCGGCCGATTGCGTCGCCGACGGCGTGCGCCAAATGCTCCGGAGAAGATCGTCGTCGCACTCCTACGACGATCATAACCCTTCTTCTTCGTCGTCGTCTTCTTCGCCGTCGTAATCAATTATTTTTTTTAACCTTTGTTAAGGTAATATATATGTGTGAATATGTTATGTATAAAGATTCATTCATCTTTGCCTCTTTTCTTACAATAATTTACTCTTATTTTTGTCGATATTTTGACTGATCTTTTAAATTATTTTTGTACTATTCATTGTTTGGGAAATTAGTATGGATACCATATTCATCTTGTCGTTAAAATTTATTATGATTTTTTTACTATTCAAAATCTGTTTAAAATTTTAAAAATAGTAAAAATTAATATTTCATCTATTCCAATACAATAGTCTCATTTTCATAAATAATCATATCACTGTAAAACTATCATTACTTTTTCAGTTGCCACTATTTTTTACACTAATATACTCACAAGGGCAAAAAAATTTTTTATCCGTACTTGTTATCTACTACTAATATAATATCAATATTCCAGATTATAGTTCTTGGATGGAGGGAGTATTTGATATGATTGATAGAAAATAAATATTTAATTTTAAAAAAAATAAAATAGTGCCAGAACTCCAAATTGTTAACTAAACAAAGCTATGTGTTTCTTATGCTTGCACCTATTCTTTTTGCATTTATTTCTTGTATGGTTTTGGGCCTATTCTTTTTGTGTTTAGTTTTAGTTTTATATTTTTGTTTTGATTTTCAGTTTAAATAATACCAACGGAATTACAATATATCAAAATTAGTCATTTAATCAAACTCAAATAAAATTACATAATATAATATAGAAAATGAAAAAAAAAAATATTTGTATGATTTTGGGCTTATTCTCGTTATTCTTGGATGTCCTATTGGTAGGGGATGGACTCATGACCATGAGATCATTAATTCAAATTCTCTTGAATATGAAATTAATTTTTAATATAATATAAAAAATTAAAAAAATATATTTGATTTGATATTTTAATTTTTAATTTTTATGAATAATAAAAATTGAGTAAACTTTTATAAACGAAAACACCCTAAGATGTAGATTCAGTCGTGATATAGTCCTCTCAAAAATCAAATTTCACAATAATAAAATGTAAAATAATTACCACACAAAATGCAACCCTAAGTATTCTAGATGAAATAATACTTCATCTGTTATTTTTTCTTTTTACTATTTTCGTTTTTACATTAAAAAATTTACTATTTTCTATTATAACAAAAACAATCTATTATATAGAAATATCAAATTGGTCTTAATTTTTAAGAAAAGTATTTTTATTTTTTTTACTTATAAGGGCAAAAATATCAAAGTTATTTTACATATTATTTTTTAGTATAGCATAAATATTAAATATTACTCACTTCATCTTAATTTAAAGTATTATTTTTACAATTTTCGTATATTTCACTCAAAAGTATCTATTATTAATATCAAAATACCCTTAATTTTATTTAAATTACAAACATAACAATTCACATATAATTACTTTATACATAAAATCAAAGAAAAAAAAATTAAAATTTTTACACATTTTCACTAACTAATAAAATACTACTCCCTCAGTATGTCCTAAATGACCTTTTTTATTATCCATTTTTTAAACTAATTTCTAGTTTTAGTAAATTTATTCATTTTAAACATATTTGATAAAAATAAATCAATTTAATTAAATTTCTAGCCTCTAAACTCTTTTATATCTATATATCTCTTCAATAAACAAATATTTTTTTATCTATATTAGAACTCTTTATTTTTTATAAAATTAGTTTTAAATTAATTATAAATAAATAAATATTTAATCATATGAAATTTTATTATTTATAAAATGATATTCATATTATATACTACATTCGTCCACTTAATAAGTTTACGTTTACATTAAGGGTGTGTTTGTTTTGGGGGTTTGAATTTTGAGTTGGGATTTGAATAGTAAAAGTTTTGAATTTGAATAGTTGTATGATGTGATATAAATAGGAGTTGATGTGATGTTTTGAATGTAAAATTGATTTTTAGTATAATATCAAAAATAAAAAATAGGTGTTTGATTTGATATTTTTGGAGGAAATTTTTGAATGAATAGTATGATTTTGTTAAAATCCTTCAAACGAACAAACCCTAAAAATATCCTTATATTTATATAATTTTTTTATACATATATCATTATATTTGTATTATAAGACACTAATAAAAGTATTTTTATCATTTTTCTTTATTTGTACTATGTTTCGATATAATAATTAATATTCCAATATTCGACATGTAAAAAAAAATGTCAACATTATAAGTGAACGAAAATAATATATTATACTCTATAATATTAAAAATATTTAAAATATCAATAATATTAATTATATAATTAATTAAATAATATCACAATTTATTAGTAATAACTTAATAATTTATATTACCTAAAATATACTCTATTTCCGACTACGGTGTTCTATTTACAGTAGATACGATAATTTAAAAAGAGTATAATTAGTAAATAATTAAAAATATATTAGTGAAAATAATTATTATATAATAAAAATAATTTTAAATTTAAATTAAAATTAAAATAATTAATTAATTTAATTTAAATTATAAATTATACTCCCTCCGTCCCATAACAAAATATCTATTTTTCCATTTTAGTTCGTTCCATAACAAAGTATCTATTTCCTTTTTTAGTAACTGTACTATCTACCTAACATTACAAATACCCTTACAACTTACAATATATTACACAAATGTCATTACCTTTATATCACACATACTAATAAAATTATTTTAATCATTTATGCTTTATTCCTACTATATTTAAATATAATACTAATATTTTTAAAATGATATGAAAAAAAATGAATATTTAATTACGAAAATAAGATAATAAATTAAAATTTTTTAAATGAATTTAAAATGTACCCTTCTTTTTTTAAAAAAAGAAAGTAATTTTTTACCTAAAGGATCGTCTCACCGCTTCAATCCGACCCAAAGGCTGTTGCCGGATCATTTCCAAGCCGCCACGTGTAATTTACAAACCTACTTGTCCCAAACCAATCTGCCACGTGTCATCGATTCATTAAACCTGCCACCACTTAAACCGCCGGTTCGCGGTTTATATAAAATCCCATTTTCAGTCTTTTCCCTAACATTCCCTCACCGGAGCTCACCTCAACATGAGTCAAGAACAGCCCAGAAAGCCGCCGTCCACGGCGGAGCAACTGCCAATCAAATACGGCGACGTTTTCGAAGACGTCGCCGGAAAGCTCGCCGCAAAGACGATTTCCCCGGAGGACGCCGCCATGATGCAGGCCGCCGAAACCACCGTCTTAGGCGAAACAAAAAGGGGCGGCGCCGCCGCCGCGATGCAGTCCGCCGCCCAGCTGAATGAAAAAGCAGGTGTCGTCGGCCACCGCGACGTCACTGCCGCCGTCGCCGCAAAAGGCGTCTCCGTCGAGGAAATGGACATTCAGGGGACTCGTATAGTCACTGAATCAATCGGCGGGCAGGTCGTCGGGCAGTATGCCGAGGTCAATCCTGCCGCCGGAGGAGTGCTCCGGCGACCGCCGGTGACCATCGGAGATTCCCTGGAAGCCGCCGCCAGGTCGTCGGCCGACAGGCCAGTTGACCACAGCGACGCCGCCGCTATACAGGCGGCGGAATTCAGAGCAACTGGTTCTGACTTCATGACCACCGGCGGGCTCGGCGCGGCGGCGCAGTCGGCCGCCGCCGTGAACGACGACAAGATTGGAGATAAAGATAAAATCAAAATGGGCGATATCTTAACTGTAATAAACAAATTAAATTAAATATTTTAGAAGTATTTATTTATTTATTTTTTTTTTGAACTGTTTTTTTATTAATTGTTTATTTAGGGAGCGACGGCGATGCTGCCGGAAGATAAGGCGGTGACGGCGGAAGATGCCGCCGGAATAATGAATGCGGAGATGCGGAATCAGCCGCGCGTGAAGATCCATCCCGGAGGAGTGGCGGAGGCGGCGGCTGCGGCGGCGAGGATCAACGAGAGGGGGATGTAGGGGAAATTAACAAATATGGTGAGGGTACCGTTGTAATTACACATGTAGAATGAAAAAGAGTGAATCAATAAATAATACTGTTCATGGTATATATTTTTTTATCACATTGCATATTATGCTCTCTTTCCCTACGTAAAGTAAATATTTAAATATTTATTTTTGGGTGGTGTTTTAACTCCCTCCTTCCTATAAGAATATTATTTTTTATTATTTTTGTTATGTTATTTTTTTATTTAGTAATTGCACTATTTATTTAATATAATTAATATTTTTTTAATTTTTAATATATTACACAAATATCATTATTTTTATATTATATAAAAATATTTTTAATTTTTTTTACTATAAATCAATATGCTTTGTAACTGCGATTATATTGTACTTAGCTAAAATTTATCGTTAAATTTGATGGTTAAAATTTTTTTTATAAGATATTTAATAAAATGTTTACTTTTTAATTGGAGTCTCAATAGAAATATCGGGAGGGATAGGGTGAGTAAAATTTTTAATTCAGCACCCATGTTGAACACATTAAAATAATTAATATAATTATATATCATCAAATTTTAAGTGTTTCGTGCAGTCATCTCCTTAAAAATATTTATACTAGAAATATGTATATTCTAGTTGAACGGATAGAGAACAATATTTTATTATATTATACTATCAAATGGTCCAACATGTGTTCATCTATACACAAAAGTTGGTCTAGATCGACATAAATTTGTTAAAATCTCACGCTAGGACATTTTAAGAAGATAATCAAAGCAACAAAAATGTGAAAATACCATTGATGGCCTTAATAAACTCACCCAAACACACACAAAACCAGTCGAGCAAAAATGTGATCTAAAACTTTGGTAAGTTCTTTTAGTTTGAGAAATTGTTAAGTTTCCTCTCCAAGTTATCAATCTCATCTTTTCATGTTTTGAAGATGTTCTAAAACTTCTAAGGTGACCGGAAGTCGATCCGAAGGAAAAACCGGACACCCAATCGGAGATGAGAATCATGTTTTGAAGATGTTCTAAAACTTCTAAGGTGACCGGAAGTCGATCTGAAGGAAAAACCGGACACCCAATCGAAGATGAGAATCAACTCGAAAATATTCTTAGGGTGTGTTTGTTTAGGGGTTTGGATATTGAGTTGGGATTTGAATAGTAAAAATTTTGAATTTGAATAGTTGTACGATGTGATATAAATAAGTGTTGATGTAATATTTTGAATGTAAAATTGATTTTTAATATAATATAAAAAATGAAAAATAGGTGTTCGATATGATGTTTTTTGGGGGGAAAATTTTGGATGAATAGTAGGATTTTGTCTAAATCCTACAAACGAACACACCCTTACTCTCAGTTATATAAGTTTGACGGAGTTATTGGTTATTAAATGTGAGTTATAGAAAAAAATAGTTGTGTTGAATGTTTGTTGGTGTTTTTAGTCATTGTAAATTTAAATGAAAAATAGAGGTGGCCGATTAACTCCTGAATTGGTATCCCAAAATATAAATTTTTATAATCGAAGATCAAACTTATTGTTTTAGTTATTGCTTTTCTGTATCTGCATTCATTATATTGAAACTGGTTTTTTTATTACCACGAGTTTATCAAATAATAATTTTTTTTTTTTTTCATAACTTAGCTACACATTACTCACAGAAATTGGCTTTTTCTTTGGTGGTTCAAGAGGATATCGAATGCATATTTTCCAATAGTTTTATCGTCTTTTCATTTGGCTAGTATGACTCGATGGAGGGATTCTTGGCTTGAATTATTTATTATTGTTTATTTAAATAAGACTATTTATGATATTTAATCTTTTTTATTTATATAAAATTTATATAATTAGAATAGTATTTATAATAAAACATTAATTTTAGATAAAAATGATGTTTTATGTATATTTTAATTTAACATGAATTTAATGTAATAAATAAAATATAAAATATTTTGTACTTTTTTACTAAAATACATAGGGATATTAAGTAATCTATCCTAATTTCTTTTTATCTCTTTCTCAAATTAATTGGTATATTTATATAAATTCGAAACTTTTTTATATATAAAATCAATTTATATTAATAGGATATATAAATTTACTTACAATATATATAAAAATTTTATTATTTTAAAATGACATTTATATTGAATATTATTATTAAAAGTATAATCTTTTAAATATACTCATACATATTTTTATTTTATTTTAATCAAATAGATTATATTATAATATAAACATTAACTAAAACATTGCCTCATTCCAAATAATACACCTTCAAGCAGTTTACTTAGACAAGAGGTTTTTAGAAGTTTTGAAAAAATTGAAAAAAATAAATATTAGTATTTCGTGTGATATTTTTAAAAAATGTTAAATAGTATCATTTTTAAAAAACATAAAAGATAAAATATATATTTAAAAAAATTAATATTAATATAAAAAATAAAAGAATATTATTATTTTTTTATTTTTATAGGGGTTAGATTAATATGATTGTAACTCAAATCAATATGATGTTTCAAAAATAAAGTGAAAACCGTACCCGCTGCGAAAATAATGTTAGAATTTTAGAATGTATAATTCCTTATTAGAATTTCAAATTTATTTTTATAATTTCTACAATTATACCCATGAAACTTTTAATACTATAATATAACTAAATTTGATTTATTATGAAATCTCAAAATTCTGATAATATAATTTTTAAATAAATTTATTTACCGTTTATAAAACTTAAGGTGCCTTTCTTGTTAAAATAATGTATGATGTGATGATTCTGTTAGAGGAAAAAATAATTTTTTTTTCCCGAAAAACACAGAGTTCAAATAGTAAAAATTTGCAGTTTTGATGCAAAAAAACATACCCTTAATACTCCCTCCTTAAAATTTATTATTACTTTTTTTTTCGTTTGTCTGTTAAATTTATTCAATTACTAATTTTGAAAAAATTAAATATTTAAAATTTAACTATTACCCTACATTTAACATTTATAGCTACTTTTATTACATTATCTCTTAATTTCATTTAATTACTAACTAAATTTACAAAAATACCTTTTAACTTTTCTTTTTTTTTTTTTTTGGTAAACTGTTCTTTTACTCCTGTAACTGGACCCTTTATCATTTTAGTCCTGTAAGTGGAGTATGTCGCAAACTAGTCTCATAAGTGAAAAATTTTCGTTGTTTTAGTCCTCTGGCATCGGAGACGCCCGCGTGGCTCGTCGGAGGTGATGTGTCCGCCAGGTGTCCCGCCAGGTATTTTTTTTCATTTTTTTAAATTTTTTAATTTTTTTAATTGAACCAAATAAAAAAAAAATACAAATAAAATTTAAAATAAATTAAAAAATTTAAAAATAAATTAAAAAATCCACGTGTCCGCTAGGTGTCGCTGACCTGGCGGACACGTCTCCTCCGGCAAGCCACGTGGGCATCTCCTGCGTCGGAGGACTAAAACAACGAAAATTTTTCATTTATGAGACTAGTTTGCGACATGCTCCACTTACGGGACTAAAATGATAAAAGGATCCAATTACGAGACTAAGAAAAACGATTTATTTTTTTATTTTTTCAATAAAATATTCATTTTCTTAATCTTTGGCCAACTCCAAATGTACTCATTTTTTACGATTGGAGGGAGTATGATTTTACTTTCCTATAAAGAATTATAATTGTTAACCAATAATGGAAATTATAAAAATTTAATAAAAAAATTCAAAATTATCCAAATAAATTTCTAAGAATCAATGTACTTACTATCTATTCTATTCTATTCTACGACGATTCAATAATTATTTGAAAATAATTTGTTGTCATTGTTTAATAATAATAATAATTTATTGATAATAATTTGTAATTAATATTATTAAAACTTACCTATAGTAGTAAAAATATAATTAAAGGTGAAATATTTATATTTAAATATATCTAAATCTAAGTATTTATCGATGAAATCTCTATCACATAAAATCTCCCTATATAATAATTATTGTAATTATAGATAAAAAAAAAAGGGGTTGAAAGAATTAAATTAATCACCATGTTTAAAAGTTAAAATCCCAATTTGTATTCGTAGTATGATCATCCACAATGTTCAAACAAAAAAGTTCGAGTAATATTATCAAAAAAATAAAAATAAATAATATTGATGCAACACAACCTATATAAAGGCAGATAGATAGGTGACGCATTTGATTAGAGATATGGTAGATAGTATAAATTAGTATATTATTAATAATAAGTAATGATATTATTTTTATTATTTTTAATATGAGTATATTGTTAGTATTTTAAATATATTTAGCATTATATCTCAATAAAATATATACAATATAGATATTATTTGGTAGATAATAAAATTTTATATAATACAAATAAATAAAAAAATATATATTTTTTTATTCATTATTACCATAATTTAGTTTTATAAAAAAATAAAAAAATTTAAAAGTAGATAAAAATAGTTGTTAATTAAAGCAAGAGATAGAAAAAAGAATTTTTGTGTAAGTCATGTTAGAAATTTAGTTAAATTGATTTATATTTGTTAATGTGTTTAAGATTGATAAATTAAAAAAAAAATCAAATTTAGTTAAATTGATTTATATTTATTAATGTGTTTAAGATTGATAAATTTAAAAAAAAAAAAAAACTCATTTTTTTTTTGAGGCAGAAAAGAAAAATGGATCATATGTGGCGAAACAGAGAGAGTAAGCAGAGAGAGTAAGTAATTTGACTGTCGAATTATACAATAATTAAAGTTAATTGATTGTAATTAATTGGTCACATATCATAATTCTACTTATCATTTATGAACTATTCATTATTATTATTATGTATTATTATTACATGAAAATCTGATAAAACTTTGCAAAATTGCAAATCTAACTTATTTAAACACATTCCCCTTATATTTTTACTATAAAAGCACATTCCTTTCCCTAAACCCCCCAACAAATTATAAATCATCAAATTTAGATTTTAATTTTTTCTATTAACTATTCACCAATTTCTTTTTTACATATCTTTTAATTTTACATTCATAATATGGCTGGCAGGCAAACAAGAGGCCGACAGAGGATCCCAATGAAACGGATCCAGAATATGGATGATCTATACGCCACATTCTCCAAACGTCGACAGGGCCTATATAAAAAGGCCAGCGAACTCAGCACCCAATGCGGTGTCGATATTGGCGTAATCATATCTTCCCCCACAGGCCATCCTTATTCATTCTTCCATCCAAGAATAAAGTCTGTGTTGAGCAGATATCGAAATCTTACCCGCCGTGCTGACTTCTTCGCCGAAGTTTCCGAGGCTCATTCTCGGGAGCGGATCTATCAATTTAACCGAGATCTAAACGAGGCCCTAACAACCAAAGAGGAGTTAAAAGACAAGGATAAACTCCTCGACGAAGTTTATAGAACTCGGGTGAAGGGATGGTGGGAACAAATCCCGATTGATAACCTCAATGGTAACGAGGTCAGTAAGTGGATTACCTGGTTTGAAAACCTAATCGTCCAAGTCTCCAATCGGAAGAAGGAAATCGGGAATTGTAAAAACACCACTGAACAACAACAAAATGCCAGTATTACTTATATTCCCGATTTTCCTAACATGCATGTCGATGACCCTGTTCCTGCTAATCCCAATTCCCCGAACATGCCTACCGGTGGCTCTAACGTAATCCCGATACAAGGTCGGGATTTTTCGAGCGTTGGTGAGGGAAGCGAGAGGCAGGCTACAGATCACTGTGCCGTTTCTCGGCCAAGATTTGAGCAAGATCCAATTCCTCGAAGCGAAGACTTGGATTTTAGTTCTAGTTCATTTTATTCGCTTTTAGGCTCGTATCTTGGTCCGGATTGGCCTAACGAAGACGGAAACAATGATGATGTGTTCTTCGGGGGGTCGTTCGGGTCGTCGTCTCAGCATCCGGGCAATGATAATGACAACGGTGACGAAAACGGCGGCAGCGATGAACAGGGTCGAACTTGATTTTTAAGTGAAAATATAGTATTAGATTAGAATTTTTATAAAAATTATTTGTGTAATAGATTATTTATAGTGTATTTTTCGACTTTATTTTTACATTATTCAATTTATAGTGAAATAGACTTTTTTTTTTATAAATTTTATTCTTATTTTGATTCTAGGTGTCAATATATATATATAATTTATTTAAAATATCTTATAAAAATATATTTTGTATTAAAAGATTTAAATCTAAATGATTAATAATGTTTAATTAATTTGCTGATTTTTTTCTTTTTTTAAGATGGGAATTATTCTTAAAACCTCAACATGTATTGTAATTAGGGCAATGCTTAGACACAAATTGTGACAAATTATAATAAAACAACCATTGAAATTTTCGTTTTCTCTCCAATTAAAGGATTATTTATATATATATATATATGAAACAATGCTGATATTTTAGAACTTTTCTACAATGTATTGGAAACTTTTATATGCACTTAAATTTGAACTTATTATGAAAATATTTGTGTTTGGTTTGTGTTTCAAACAAAAATCAATATTATTTACTTTATATACGATTTTTAATAAAAATATATTATTATTATTTTTTTTTTTACAAAATATCACATTAAAATACATTTTAAAAAAAAAATTCAGATCAAAACCAAAGAAACAATTGTGATGAAATGGCAAGGACTATTGGTGTATTCTATTGTATGTGTGATTTTTTTTTTTTTTCTCCACCTTCGATTTTTTACCATTCAATTTGTTTATTTATATATATATTTTTTAAATACATTACATTATGTACTTATTTTTTTGTACAAATAAATATATACATCTAAAAAAATATCATAACAAAAAAATCACTCCCTATATACAACTATAAATTACTTCCTACAAATCAAAATTTAAAATTTACCATCATGTTAACAATACATCGCGTGTTAACAAATAATACATAATATTATTACATATAATATATTATATATTAATACAATACTAATATAATATATAAACTAATAATATATGATATAATATCACACAACATATATAAAGTTTTGAATTTTGATAATATGAGATAAATTAAATAGTACTTGAATAGGAAATATTTGTTGTGTTATATATTTGCAAAAACATAAAAAATTAAAATTATTGAGTAATGCAAATAAATAATATACAATAAGATTGTTTAGTTGTTGATATATTATTATTTGTATTTTTATTCATTTTTGGTTATTTTTCAAATAAGTTAGCAGTTAAATATAAATATTTTGAAAGAAAATTATGAAAAATAAGAATATATTAATATAACTACAAATAAACAAGCCCTAAATTTAATTTATGAATATTAGTTTTGGCAAGTGATATGATTATACATATATTAAATAAATGTTATTAATAGTTCATTTTATTAAATTTTCTTTAAATATACATTTTGGTAGGTAATTTGATTATCAAATTAATGCAATAATAAAGTTCGTTTTGATTAGTATATTGATTGGGTCAAATCATCGTGACATATTTATTAGTAAACTAGCACATATTTAACAAGATATCTTAATATAATATATAACACATATTTTGATAGCATAATATATTTTAATTTGAACAAATAAGCATATTTTATAATGTAACGCAATATATAGCTTATATAACAAATGTTAATATAATATATAATATAACACACTATATAACTCTATGTAGCATATATTATCTATTGTAATGAAATATTAATTATTTCATAATTATTATTATATTTATTATTACATAAAATTTTCTGATAAAATTTGCAAAATTGGAAATCTAATTTATTTGAACACATGCCACAAAATAAAATTATAAAATTGATTTTAACTACATAATTTCCTCCCGTGATATTATTACTATAAACACACTTTACCCTAAAATCCAACCCATTACAAATCTTAAAATTAAATTTCATTTTCTTCTATTTCCTATTCATCAATTTTTTGCGTTCAGTATGGCGGGTAAACAAACAAGAGGCCGACAGAAAATTCCAATGAGACGGATTGAAAATATGGATGATCTATACGCCACATTCTCAAAACGTCGTCAAGGCCTATATAAAAAAGTCAGCGAACTGAGCACCTTATATAGTATCGATATTGGAATAATTATATCGTCCCCAAAGGGACATCCTTACTTGTTCTTCCATCCAACAACGGAGTCCGTGTTGAGAAGATATCGAAACCATACCCATCGTGCCAACTTCCTCGCCAAAGTAACCGAGGTTCATTCTCGGGCCCGGATCTACCAGCTTAATCGGGAGCTAAGTGAGGATCTAAAAAAAACAAGGAGTTAAAAGAAAAGGATAAACTCCTCGACGGAGTCGATAGAACTCGGGTAAAGGAATGGTGGGAACAAATCCCCATTGATAACCTCAATAGTAACGAGGTCAATAAGTGGATTACCTGGTTCAAAAACCTTTGCATCCGAATCGTCAATCGGAAGGAGAAAATTGAGCACTTTAAAAACACCGCCGGACAACAAGTCGCCGAGCATGTCCCGGGAATGATGCATTCCCGGCCCAAAATTGCGATAAGCCCGATCGCATCAATGAATCCCAACTTCCGGGATCTTCTTCTACGACGCAGGTCCAAGATCAATTTGGGCAAGTTCATCACGATGATATAGAACTTCCGATACAAGGTCAGGATTTGCCTAGCGTTGGTGAAGGAAGCGAGGGGCATGTTCCGAATCCGGATCACCGTGCTATTTCTAAGTGGAATTTTGAGCAAGATGCAATTCCTCGAAGCGAACACTTCGATTTTAGATTTAGTCCTTTCGATTTGCTTCTAGGATCGTTTCTTGGTCCGGATTGACATAACAAAGATGGCGACAACAATGATGGATTTTTCGGGTGGCCGTTTGAGTCTTCGCCTCAGCACCCGGGCGACGGTGATGACAACGGTGGTGGAAGTGGCGGCGACGAAGGCGGCGATGATCGACAAGGTCACATTTGATTTTTCAATAAAAATGTATGTTTAAATTTTTCTTTTTTTTTTTCTTCAAAACCATTTTATTTGATACTTTCTTTTAAGTACAAAATAAATATTTCAACATAAAAAAATTATAACAAAAAAAATATATGCCGTATAAATGAGCATGTATTTCAAATTTTATTTAAAATTATTATTTACATTAATATTATACATACCTACACTTATCAGGTATATAATCGACGGCGTAGTTCAAATACTGACTTGGTCAAATTAGCATATGATCAAATCAACACAATAAGCAAGCGATACAGTGCATGTGTATTTATAAGCATAATGATGTACTTTCTCCGTCCCGCTACAGATAATTCTATTTTATTTTTGGTACATCCCACAAAAATAATATTTTTTCATTTGGTAAGTTTATCAATCTTAAACATACTTAACAAATATAAATAAATTTAATTAAACTTCTAATATTTTACACGTAGACCCACTTAAAACCCTTTTATTTCTATCTCTCCTTAATTAACAAATATTTTTATTTTAAAACTCCTCATTTTTTTATAAAACTAATTTATGGTAATAATAAATAAATATATTTTTTTATTCATTTGTATTATATAAAATTTTATTTTCTACAAAATGATATGTATATTGCATATATTTTATTGAGATATAATTCTAATATACCAATGACACTGCACATATAAAAAATAATAAAATATTATCTTAACTTATTATTAATAACTTAATAACCTACCCTACCTAAAATACCGTATCCCTAACAAAAGGCTCTATCTTTCACGGGACGGAGTAAGTATTATATAAAAGTATGTTATATAAAATTTATATATTGTGCCGTGTATATATGTTTATTTTTCTTAACTCAATAATATATTGTATTGCATAAGATTATATCATATATTATCGAAATATGTGTTTTATAATTTATTATTATGATGTGCGGTAAAATATATAATGTTCGTTTTATTGATTTATATTAATTAAGTTAAATCAGTACTATATTGATATAATCTCGCCAATACGGAAATCGAAACAATAATTGAGATTATTATTTACTATTATATCCAGCCAAATTAAGAGAATCAATAAACATAATTAATACAACTTCCCAAAAATTAACATATTATATTGTTTGGTTGGGTTTGCAATTTGAGTTTGGTACTAAATACTACTTCATCCCTCCAACAAAAAAATATATATTTGTTTTTATGTTATTATTTAATATTAAAAATATTTTTATATTTATATAATTTTTTTATAAATATAATTATATTTGTATTATAAAATATTAATAGAAATATTTTTATCATTTTTTTATTTGTACTATATTTTATATAATAATAATTAATATTCAAATATTAACACGAAAATTAATTATATTCCCTCCGTCCAGCTAGAAAGTATATATATTTCTATTTTGGGACGTCCAATTACAAAGTAAACATTTCATTAAATACCTTACTTTTTTCCACAAATACCCTTACTTTACATCACATCATTACTTTTATACCAAAAAATAAGGGCAAAAATATCATTACACTACTTTTAACTACCCACTATAATTAAAATATTATTATTTCTTAAACACCGCGCCAAAAGTAATTGTATACTTTATGAGTGGACGGAGGAAGTATATTTTTTATACTAGACGGAGGGAGTAATAATTTAAAATTTGAATAGTTTTTTCTGTGATATAAATAAGTATTTATTTGGTATTTTGAATGTAAAATTATTTTTTAATATAATATAAAAATAAATAATAATAATTTAATTTAATATTTTTTTCATAAAAAATTAGTGAATAGTAAATATTTAAGAAATATCCAAACACCACAAATGTTTTACAACAGATGGAGTTTCCATGCAATTTTTTTTTTTAAGATTCTATCAATAAATATGCAAAAATAGAAATAGGAATTGCACAATAATTATTTAATTAAGGAATATTTTCACATATATACATTCTCTTTTATCATATCTACCGTTGAACTAATAATTAATAATTATTTATCTGTCAAATATTATTGTTAATTTTTACTTAAATTATAAATATATAATTATTTTAAATATAAAATTTAAGGGTAAAAATATCAAATTTTTTTACATACTTCCACTAATAAATAAAATACTATAATTTTTAAATCTACTACGAAACCTCAGAGGCTCCATTTAATTGAAACGAATGGAGTATTACATTGTTAGTTTATGTCAGCTACGAAGCACATGCAACAATATTCTAATAGAAGATCTTTTCAGGTACTACGAGCTATACACTTCCTTCGTCCGCCTTTAAGAGTCACATTTATTTTTTGCGTCATTGTAATTAACATTAAAAATATCATTATATTTGTATAATTTTTTTTTTTTACAAATGTCCTACTATTAGTATTATAATATAATAATATAAATATTTTTGCAATTTTTTTTAAATTTGTACTCTATTTTGATATAATAATTGATATTCAAAAATCAACACTAAAAAAATAAATGAGACATTTATAGTCGAACGAAGGTAGTATAAGATTATTTTTATACAAATTTTATTTAAAATACCAACATAATAATACAAATCACATACATGACTGACTACAATATATATTTTTCATCCATTAAAATTATGCAACTATTTCGTTGTTGTTAAATTTATACGTAATTTATTTATTATAAACAATTTTGTCTATTTATAATTTTATTACTTTTATTTTTATAAATACTATTTAATTTATCACTATTTTTTATTTTTTTATTTAATCTATATTTTATTTTTATCAATTTTTAATAATTTTTTTTTTTTTTTATAATACTTTCACTTTATTTTGCCTCATTTTAATATTAAGATATTACTTCCTCCGTCCACAAAATAAGTATACATTTACTTTTGGCGCGGAGATTAAGGAATAATAGTATTTTAATTATAGTGGGTAGGTAAAAGTAGTGAAATGATATTTTTGCCCTTACTTTTTTGGTATAAAAGTAATGATGTGATGTAAAGTAAGGGTATTTGTGAAAAAAATTGGGTATTTAATGAAATGGTTACTTTGTAATTGAACGTCTCAAAATAGAAACATGTATACTTTCTAGCTGGACGGAGGGAGTATTATTTTTTAGTGTTTATGCTAATTAAACTTATATAATTTCAACATATGGATATGGATGGAATATTTAATAATAATAACTTGTCCAATTCCAACAAAGGTTGTCTCTCTCTCACCCAAAACTATGTCGAAATTAAATTTATATATTTATGTTGCCACTTTAGGACACAAATCCTACTCAACCTAACTAAAAGTAAAATTCGTCTTCCAATTTTATATTACTATAACATTTGCTAAATAATTAATTTAAAGACACGCACGCACGCACACAAATATATATATATATATATATATAATTATTTAATTACCCAATTTTGTTTCTGCCTGTTACATAATTACAGGTTTGCATGGTTTCATTGGATTCTTCTTTTTTGTCATTAAGTTTTCACATATTATTATTATTATTATTATTATTATTTGTGTGGATTTGGTATTGAATTGTTACGCCAGTCAATAGCACAACTCTAACATTACATTATCTAATCATTATTGAATTTATAATTATTTTTTTTTTAAAAAAAAAAACTATTTAACTAGCTACTCAGACCATCTCCAACCGATGAGATTTTCTTCTATTTTTGTAGGGTAGGGAGAAAAAAACTGCTCCAACCCACTTGCAGTTTTGCGAGAATTCACTCTCTGGAATCAACGGGTGCATTTTTTTTTTTAATACAATTATCTATTTATTTATTAAGTTATCTATTTATTTATATAGTTATTTTTTTTAATATTATCTATTTATTTATGTAGTTATCTGTTTCTTTTATATATTTATTTAATTTTTAATTTTTTAAATATCATCAACAAAATAAAAAATTGCATTAATTTTTTTATTTGTTTATATTTTTATTTATTTTATTTTTTTTAAGCTTATATCTTATATATTTTATTTTATTTTATTTTTGTTATTTTTAATTAAAAATATTATTATAACTTAAATGTATAAAAATAATAAAATATTAAATTTTATTTGTACTTTTAAAAATTATGTAAAATAAATTATAAAGAGAATATGTTTTAACCCTGCAAAAATAGAGGGTATGATTGGAGAAAAGATCCTGCAAAAATAGATGGTAGGGTTGGAGATGGGTTACTGTAGCAAATCTTGCAAAAATGGAGAAATGTACTGTAAACCCTGCAAAAATAGAATTATGGGTTGGAGATGATCTAAGATTATGAAAGAATGAGGGCAGATTCGTGTTGATTTGAAGAATCAACATATTTAATAAATATATATAATATTATATCCGTCCGACTCTAAATGTCTCATTTATTTTTTGCGTGTTGATATTTGAATATTAACTATTATATTAAAATATAGTATAAATTAAGAATAATTGCAAAAATACTTCAATTAGTGTCTTATAATACTAATATAATGACATTTGTAAAAAAATTATATAAATATAAAAATATTTTAATGTAAAGTACAATGAATCTAAAAGTAAATGTAACCGTACAGAGAAAGTATGATACTCTATTCGTCCCATAATTATGTATCCGTTTGCTTTTTGCACGGAGTCTTACAAATATTAGTATTAGATTGGGATGTAGTATGAATAAAGTCGAAATGATTAAAATAACCTTATTAGTACTGTGTGATATAAAAATAATGACATTTGTGTAATAAGTATTTGTAATGTTAAGTAAATAGTACAGTTACTAAAAAATGAAATTGATACTTTGTTATAAGATAGACTAAAATGAAAAAATTGGATACTTTGGGACAGAAGGAGTATTTATTTAATGATAATTTCTAATACAAATAATACTTTGAGTTGGGACAATTTAAAATAAAAAATTGTATTTTTTTTAATTTTCCAAATCACATTTCTTATTATTAAATACTCTTACGTTTTCATTTACCTTTTGCATTATTGACTTAACATTAAAAATATTTTTATATTAACGTCATTATAATAGTATTACAAGACACTAATACAAATATTTTTATCATTTTTTTTAATTTATACTATAATTTTTATATAATAATTAATATTCAAATATAAACATTAAATCAGACCCTGATGCTCGAAGGAAGGTAGTAAAATTTCCAAGCAAATCGTTATGTTACAAAAGAACAAATTTCTCCTATAAAAATCATCATAAAAAAAATAAAATAAATAAAAAACATTCTTTTTAAGAACCCAACATTTTAAATTACACAAAACCTTACGAATATTACACCAAACGAGGAATTAATTAAATCCAATCCCCAATTCTGATCAATGCAATTCGAGCCCACTTTTCCGGCAGCCGCTCGTGGCGGCGACGGCGATGACGTCAGCAAAAGCAGCCATTATGAACCTGTGCGTGTGCTCAGGGTTCAATGCTAAATAACACGATAAAAGCTCAAATAAAAATTCCCAATCGCCGTCGCCGGAATCCCTAGATTGGATCATCTCCACCATCGATTTTCTGAAATCGGTGTACGGATCCGACGAGTACTTCTGCACCACGACGCCTCCGGCGACCGCCGCCGCCGGAGGAGGCGGTTCGAGGATGGAATTGGAGCTTCCGGGGGAGGAGCAGAAGAAGCGGTGGGAAGCGAAGGCGGCGGAGACGAAATCGACGACGCAGAAGAAGTCGTCGGAGTCGGAGCTGTCGTCGCCGGAGGATGAGACTGAGGAAGAAAATGTGACGGATTTGGAGATAGCTCGGCCTTCGTCGGAGGACGCCGGCGGCGGCGCCGGCGGAAGAGCGGCGACGGTGGGAAAGCACTTGAATTTAGAGAAGCAAAAGTTAAACGCTTTCCATATAACATTGCTTGCCATTGTTTTTTTTTCGTTCAACTGAATCTCATCTCTGTTACATATATATATATATATATATTGTGTATCTATTCTTAATTAAAAAAGATATTGGATTAAATATATTTGAGAAATACTTTCAACTTTTAACCTCTATTTACTTATTTAAAATATAATAATAATAATAAACTAAATACTAAAAGATTATGATAAAAATTACTCCTTTCGTTCCTATGTAATACGAATATATTACTGTACATATGAGAATTTAGGTGAAATATAATTAATAAAAATAATGATTGTATAATAAAAATAATTATAATTAAAACTAAGATAACCAAATATTTTAATTAAAATTAAAAAAAATTAAAATTTAAAATTTAAAATGTGATTAAATTTTATAACTATATTTGCAAAAAAAATAAAATTAGACAAATTATATAGGATAGACGAAAATAAAAAATATAGACAAATTATTTGTGACGGAAAAAGTATAAATAAACACACATTCTTTTCAAAATACCAAAATTTCCAGTATATTTTGAATTTCATTACCAAAACAATATATTTAAGACTATATGTATAATAGTAGTATTAATTTTTTTTTTTTTTTTATCAAAATTTCCATAATTTCGAAACACAACACTTCTAATATTTTTTCTAAAATAGTAAATTTATAATAAAACACTTACCGACTCTTCGATAAAATATGAAACTAAAAAAAATATTTCCATTTCCGCTGTCGTACATTGTTGCCGTCATCGGGTTTTAATAGGTCACAACACGGAAGCCAGTCCGGCCATGGAAATCCGGCGAACATCCAACGCCGGCATAATAGAAGTGATTTTAATAAGTATCACTTCGGCGGCCAAAGCTTCGAAAAAGTACATTTCTTATGATCGTTACAATATCAGATCCATTAGTTTTTAAAGTTCGGATATTGTTTATTTTATTTTATTTTTAAAAAGTTTACAACGTAATTTAGTTATTTTTAATAAAAATATATTATTTATTCTCAAGAAAAAAAAAAGAAAAATTATATAAATCAAACGCCACAGTTTGTTTTTAATTTTAATTTGGGTATAAATTTTTTTTACTTACTTTTGTAATTAAATAATATTTTAATATAATATCTTGTTATTAAAAATTATAGAGCAAAATAAGAATTATTTATATTTCAAATCAAAACTAAACGCGATTTGTGATTTATATTTAAACAAAAAATTAAATATCAAAACAAAAGAAAAGGATAAACTTTATTTATTCTTATATGCATTAATAAATAAATTGTTGTTGATAATTTATAAAATAAAATAGAAAATTCAAGATCTTGTTTGAACAATTTACAACAATGTATTGATATACATGGAAAATAATTTTAATACGATACTCCCTCAGTAGTAATATATATATATATATATGTTAGATTTTTTTTTATGTCATCTAAAATATTCATGTTATTTTAATAAAAAACTTGTCTAATTTTTTCTAACATTTTACTATAAAAATGAAATGTAATTACCAAAAAATGCACACACATTCATGCCAAAAAAAAAATATATATTGTTGGATTTCTACTTTTACATGACGAAAAATAATAATTTATTTTAAACTTTTACCGCGTTATAATCTTATAAAGATCACAAATGATCTTAAGAATTGGTTCCGTTGCCGTCGCCGTCGCCGCCGCTTTTAGAACCATTGTCTGGTTTATGAGAAGAAGACTTACCATCATCATGGCCATCTTCACTTGGCCAATCTTGAGCTTGAGAAGTATTTGGAAGATAATTAGATGGACTAAAATTGAAATCCAAATTTTCACTTCCCGGAAATGGATCTTCTTCAAAATTAGGTCTTGAAAAGTTGAAAATATCATCGGGAATTTGTTCAAACTGATCCTGAACCAGCATATCAGAAGAAGAAGAAGGTCCCGGAAGTAATTGAAAGTTCGAGGACACGAGTTTTTCCGATTCGCTAATATTATCGGGCAAATCAGGATTAGTAGCAACGGGGTCATCAGTGGTCATGTCCGGAAAATCGGTGCAAAAAATACATTCCTCTTGTTGTTTTTCGGACATAGCAATGCCCGCGCTACCATTGTTCTTGATTTCCTTATTTTGGTTGGCGATTTGGGCACGGAGATTCTCGAAACAAGCGATCCATTCATAAACCTCGTCCTTATTAAGGTTTTCAAAAGTGGTTCGTTCCCACCAACCCTTTTTCCGAGTACCATCGAGGTATTTCTCTCTTTCTTTAAACTCTTCTTTCGTTGTTAGGACATCATCGAGTTGCTCGTTGAGTTGCTTGATTCGGGCCCGGGGAAAAATCTCGACAATTCGGGCATAATCGCTACAATGTTGGTTACGGTGTCTTCTAACTACCGACTCCATGTTTGGATGGAAAAATGAATGTGGAATGTTCGTAGGGGAGAAAATAATTATCCCAATATCGATACCGCACAGGGTGCTGAGCTCACTGGCCTTTTTGAAAAGGCCTAAGCGACGTTTTGAAAATGTGGGATACAAATCGTTCATATTTTCAATATATCTTATCGGGATTCTTTGACGACCTCTGCTTTGCCTGCCAGCCATTTTAGGAATAAAGAGTGAACGAAAAATTATAAACACCCGAATAAATATAAATGAAAATATAAGAGATGTGGAGAAAAATAAATTATATTTTAAAAGGAAATGATGAATTAAGGTGGAGTGAAGAGGTATTTATAGGAAAAATTACGTAGAGAGAGGACATGAGAGAATGAGAATTCATACAATTTATTTTATTTTTAAACTTATGGAAATAATAAATTAAATATAATTTATTTAAAATTATGCAAATTTTATTAGATTTGTGGCAATTATACAAAAATATTGGTGAAATGCAGTGCATCTGTGATTATAAGATTTAAACGTGTTCGTTTTAATTATCTATTTACTAGTAATTTTATAGATAAGATATATAGCAATTGAGAAAAGTAAAAATAATAATTAAAATGAACTACTTTATGTTATCTATTAAGAAAATATATCACTAAATTACCTATATTAAATTTAAATTTACTAAATAAATAATATAAAAACAGTGCACATAAATTACAATTTTGTAAACATAGAAATATAAATAATATTTTATTTTATTTATTTCTTTTTTTTTTTGTGGGGGGGTGGGGGGTAATTTTTTAATTCCATAGTTATTATTATTAATAAAAATAGAATTTATGTATATAAAATAAAAAAAAACAGTAAAATTTAGTTACATTTAACTTCACATATATGTAAATGCTAATTAAGTACTATAAAATTTTTTTACTTCTTTTTAATATGCATCTTTCAATCATTTGTTAATATTAAGTATACATATTATACATAAAATAATCAAATTTACATCTCAATTATTTTATATCATGATTATAATAAGGAATTTTCAATTTAAAATGTGTATAGTTCTAAAAACTCTCTTGTGTGTGTACATATATATATATATATATATATACTTATATTAAAAAAGATATGCCTCAATAAGAAATTTTTTTCTTATTTTTATAAAAGTAACAAAAATTAAGAAAATGAATAAAATAAAAATTAACATACAAAAATATAAATCGCCAATAATCAAGACATTAGAAAGAGTCTGATTTTGATTGTATTATCTTCCATCTTTCATAATATGGAAAATAAAATCCTAGTGATGAACATATGCATAGTATATTGTCACTAGTATATTGTCACACGGACTGATATTCCTGTCCCTGGTTGTCGGTCATAGTTCGTCACATGTGTGCGAGCCCCTGTCCTGTGCAGCCGACTAATGACCCATATCTTGGTGCACGTACGTGTTCCGCATTATTCTCGGGCGTGTTGCGCATAAGGGACGGCTGGTCTGGGCCTCAGTGCGGGCGTGGCTTAGGCGCTGGGCGTATCAGCTTTCGGACACGTTACAATATAGTAGTATGTAGACTTATGAACAAATATTATATTTATCTATTTCGTATATTTGCATTGATCGAGTCAAATTAACATCACAAAAATCAGATTGTATTTTTAAAATAAAAATAATTATTAAATATGATAGTAATATTTCAAAATAGTCCCTTCATCCTTTATAGAAACTCATACCGAACTATTTATATTAAACATTTATCATTATACTTTACTTTGAAAAAATAAAAATTACGATTATTGCATAGTAAAAAACTGACATTTGATTTTATGATATATTTTGACAGGCGAAATCAAAATCAGAAGACCGTGGAGGTTCAACCTTCACTGTATAGATAAACTTATAACAACGTTGATTAAGCAAGGATCGGAGTCATAGTATCGCGGCATTTCTTCATGTTTTGTCGATTTCGACTACAAATTCTTGAATTTACTAATATAACATTGAGTTTTCCAACGATCAATCGACGTGCGTGACAATAATCCAACGCCAAGTGGGAAAATGTATGGTACAATTATACGTTAAGAATTCTTACATACAATTGGATCAATCCCTCCCTTCCGTTGTCCGGAGGGAGCTCAAGTTGTCGAAAAGTTTCTTACAAAACCTGTTCATGGCTCAACAGTCATGTTTTCAGCCTCTTTTCTGATCGAATCAAAAAGCTCCGTTGATAAATACCGCTCGCCAAAGCTCGGGAAAAGTGTCTGCGGTCATCGAGCAACGATTCGCGTCAAAACATCTTCCTTAAAAATAACATAGTACTATGTGTTTTTGTTTTGTGAGATTGTTGCAAAAGAATTTGTTTTTATGTGAAATATAAAGAATTGTTTAGATAATATAAAAATAATAAATATGAAAAGTGTAGTAATTTTTTTGAAAAAAAAAATCGTGTGAAAGGAAATTAGAGAAAGAACAAAGACTATATTTTCCCATATAATAATATATTTCACACAAACACATTATCAATTGATTTCAGAATATGAGAATATTCATATAATAATATAGCGTGAATGGTAAACACATAATTTCAATGAACACTATATTGTGTTAATTTTTCTTATTTATTTTTTTATGACGTAGGAAATTACAGTCGTTATTCTAACAGTGCACTCTGGCGAACCCTCAGTTGAAACTAATCAGTACCCTAATCATCTCCAAGTGCGCTATACTAAAAAACTCAAATTTATTTCATATTTTGTATTTGTATTTGTATTATATTAACATAAATAATGTGTTGTTGATTAATATTTTAGCGTACTTACAACGATAAGTTTTCCTGCATTTTCGGGGCGTTTGGCTATTGAAAGTGCGGCTGCTGCTGCAGCACCCGACGATATCCCCATCTGCGCAAAGGATGGATTGAGATTCGAACGATGACGATAAAAATATTAGTAAGAGCGTGGGATCATCGAATTTGCAGCTCACCAACAACCCCTCTTTTAGCGCGAGTAGTTTCGCTGTCTCAATGGCCTCTTCGCTCGATACCTTTCACGATGAAATAAGAACATCAAAAGTTAAAGCTTTTCTTACAACACAAAAGAAGTCGACATTATGATTGCTCGAATGCATACTAAGTCTTACTTGAAGTACTTCGTCAATGAGAGCAACATTAAGAACATCGGGAATAATTCCAGCGCCGATTCCTTGAATCTTATGTTTACCTTTGAAAAACAAATTAAGCCAATCGAATTCCATGAACTTGAAACTAAAAGAGTCTAATACGCTCGGTTTACATACGCATTTTTAGAATTTCGGACACTATTCATCAATAGTAACTTTTTTTTAAAAAAAAAAACATCGTATCAAAATACAATTTTTCTTCTCACAAAACATTGCATCAAATATTCAACTTTTTATTATTTCCAGAATTTTCCAAAAACTCAAAAACTTCCGAAGATTCTATATGACATACCAACGAAACTCACCCGGCTTTCCTCCCGAAAGAACAGCACTTTCAACCGGCTCCACACCATATAACTAAACCAATCAACTAAGTAAGCAAAACCCCGACGATTTTAACATAAACCGAGCAATTTTCAACAAGTCGAACCTTTATGTTAGGATTCTGTTCTTTAAGATATCTTCCTACGCCGGTGATAGTTCCTCCGGTGCCAATCCCACAAACAAATGCATCGACCTTTTCATTCGATCCTTTCCATATCTCCGGCCCGGTAGTTTCATAGTGTATCTAAAACATAAATAAAACAGAGACATTAAGATTGCTCATTCGCCAAACTAACATCAGATATCATCAAAACACATTACCTTGGGGTTCGAAGGGTTTAAGAATTGCTTAAGTATATAAGAGTTCGGCGTCTTCACATGAATCTCCTCAGCTTTCTGAATCACTCCTTCGACTCCCTTGGCAGGATCTGTTAGCACCACTTTGGCGCCGAATGCCAGGAGAATGATTTTGCGTTCGAAGCTCACGTAAGAAGGCATTGTGACGATGAGCTTGTATCCTTTAATGGCAGCTATAAACGCCAGGCCTATACCGGTGTTGCCACTCGTAACTTCGATCACAACACTCTTCGACAAAACTCAGGCAATCAGATAGAGATTTATGTTTCATGTAAATTTCACATAGAACCTTAACATTTCCTGCTCAAATCAGGATTTGATTGAATGAACTATTCACAAAAATGGATTTGCAGATTCAGATATGGAGATATTATACCTCTCCTGGTTTGATGAGTCCTTGTGCTTCAGCATCTGCAATCATACTGTAACCGATTCTGCTCGAAGAATTCCAAGTGTTACTTTATCATAATTTCGAAATTGCATTTCTTTTTTTCTTAATGTAATGATGAAATAGGCTTCTATTTATAAATGTGATCTAATTTAAAGAGTCGTATAAAAATATAGAAAAGATCTAAAGATCATACAACTAGAATTTCTCAATAAATCAAACAATGACGTAGCCAGAATTGTCCGTTGAATCTGAGTCTTGGACTCTCAACACAGTAAAATGCCCACCCGTCACCCAGTCAATAAAGTACATTTCATAGTCCAAGGATATGGCGACTTACCCATTTAGTGATTAAGTGAATTTAACAACTCTCAACAGAATTAGAATCGAAAATAAAGCTCTCAACACTGTTATAGTCATAAACAAGACGGTCACCACAGGTAAAAAATTCAAAAACAAGACTCTTATCATAGTTAAAGTCGGAAATAAGGTTCTCAAAGCAGTTAGAGTTGAAAAAGAAGAGCTCTGGGCAGAAACAGAACGTAGGATCGAAGGTCAAAAGCTCAAATTTAGGAGGCCACCTAATACATTTCTATCGGGATCTCAAAATGAGGAAGTCACATTGTGTTTTTATGTGGTTTTTTCAATATTTTTCACTATACAATGAATTTTTTTCAGAAAATATCGAATCAAAATGCCTATTTTTTATTTTTCATATTATACCAAAATGTGTTTTTAAACTGTTTTTTAATCCCATAAAACTAGTTTCATAGGTAAACACCTTCTGTAGTTTTAGTCCTCCGGCGCCGTAGACACCAGCGTGGCTCGCCGGAGGTGATGTGTCCGCCAGGGGTCCAGCCAGGTCAGCTACACCTGACGAACACGTGGATTTTTTTATTTTTTATTTCATTTTTTAAAATTTTTTTAAAAATTATTTTTAATTTATTTTATTTTTAATTTTATTTGCACTTTTTTTATTTTTTTATTTGGTCCAATAAAAAAATTTAAAAAAATGAAAAAAAATAAAAATCCGCATGTCCGTCAGGTGTCGCTGACCTGGCAGGACACTGACGGACACGTCACCTCCGGCGAGCCACGCAGGCGTCTCCGACGCCAGATGACTAGAACAACAAAAAAAATTTTCACTTATGGGACTAAAACAACAAAAATGATAAGGGGGTCTTAGGGAGTAAAAAAACAGTTTACTGTACATTCAAACATATCTTATATCACATAAAACATCTCTTAGAATTAAAAATTTTTACCTTAAAATGTATAATAAATCGAAATGGTTGAATGTATATTGCATTTGTAGAATTTGAAAGTTGATTATTTATAAATGTGATGCAGATAAAATCAAATCAAATCTAAATAAGTTTACAACAAAATAATATCAGATCATTGTAAAATATCTCAAGCACAAAAATTAGAAGGAAGTATCGAAACGATATAAAACTGGAATCCGATAATCAAGCAACTGGCTAACATAATTGATAACGAAATCGAATTGAATACCTATCCTTAACGCTGGAGCAAGGCGCCATGGATTCGAGCTTGGCCGCGACACGTGCGACGCATCCGTCCACGTTATTCAGGTACACCATCGGAGTATCGCCAATCAACTACCAATTTCAGGTAAAGGATAACAATGAAATTACACGAAAACCTAAATATCCGAAAGAATTGGGGATGGATTGTTTTGCAGAGGATCGATTACTTCAGTTACATCCTTCGCGATTCCGCTGATTTCGGCCGACGCCATATCTGCGCAATTTGAAGAAGAGGAAGAAGAACTTCGAGCGGATTCACCAAATCCCCAAAATTTCAGAGCCTTTTATTTCCACCATTATCATAAGCAGCAGCAGCAGCAAATTCCCACCACAAGTCGGTGGCAGAAGTCACAAGGCACTATTTAGATTATTGACTTTTCGTACGTTTGGTAAAATGAAAAACTCCCGCGCATGTCTTCCCCATTGCCCAAAACGTACGGAACGGAACTTCCATTAATGAAGAGGCCCCGTTCGTTGAATGAGCCATCGCTGTTAATATACTACTTTCGTATTAAAAGTGTGTTTAATTTTAGTTTTTCTTTCTAAATTGTGTTTGTAGCGTATTTAAAGTTCAATCATTTTACAACAGTTAATTATTTATTGTTGATAACGGGCGTATGAATTCTAGCTGTAGTTGCGGTTCATTTATTACGACATATTTGTTGCAACTCATGTTGATCAATCCGACGTATCCCAAAAAGGAATATCATTTTTAGAGAATTTCATTTAGTTGTTTAAATACACTGTTAATCCCAATTTTTTTCCCCAAAAATATTAAATCAAACACCTATTTTTTATTTTTTATATTATACTTAAAAATCAATTTTACATTCAAAACATCACTGTCAACATTTATTCATATCACATATACAATTATTCAAATCTCAACTCAAAATTCAAATCCCCAAACAAACACACCCTAGTAGATTTTATGGAATTTTATTGAGAAAATATAGTAGAGTCAATATACAGATTTATTTAGAATGATATTTTCCAAATCTGTCATTCTTACCTTGTATGTTAATTAGGACAAATGTAGTGGGAAGATTTGGGAGAGTAATTATAGAAATATTTTTTGAAGTAACAATCATTTCAACGTGAGAAAAAGAGATATGCAATATTGAGGATATAGATGGCTTGTTGAACAACCTTATGTAGGGGGTGAGTGCTCTAGAATAGTATCTAGTACAACTCTATTGTAATCTCGATTTTGATCTTGATGAAAAGTAATATTGCCTGGATTGGTACCCCATACGTAGATCTTCGATGGGTCGAACTGAATTAATAATTTGATTGTCATTTATTTTTCGATTACAGTGTGTGGTTTGAACCTTCCACAAATATTATAACTCTGCTTGCAATGCTCGAATTCTTTCTACGAAAATATGGTGCAATTTTATATTATTAAATATTTAAAATGTTTGAGACCAACATTTATTGTATTTATATTATATTATAGTAATATTGTATATTATATTTATCGGTTAATTACACGATGTAGTGTCAATATATATTGAATTATATGTATATATATATTGACACAAATATACTATGTCTAATAAAAAAGTTAATTATTTAATTAAAATATTAATTTTTATATTATTAATATGACCTCTCGTATCCAATATAAAAAAATACATTTACAAGAAAACCTACAAATTAAATACACTCTAAATTTTTATTCAATATCTATTTTCACTATTACCACGTATGAACTCCACATATTAAACAAGTTCAATCATTTTTAGTTTTCTATCTGATATTTATTTTTATCTATTTAGGATGTGTTTGTTTGGATTGGATTTACATTATTTATTCAATTTTTTTCCCTAAAAAATATCAAATCAAACACCTATTTTTTATTTTTTACATTATATTAATCAATTTTACATTCAAAATATCACATCAACACCTATTTATATCACATCATACAACTATTCAAATTCAAAATTTTTACTATTCAAATTCCAACTCAAAAACCAAACCCCGAACAAACACACCCGCATCATTCTGTGTTATTGTACTATTTTTAATCTAAAAATTATTGATGCGTTTATTTTATGTTTGTTAATGTCGATATATTCTTTGAATTAGCTATGGACAACTAATTAGTGAGCTCAAATAAAAATTCAAATTAAGGTTGTGTTCTTTTTATGGATTTTTGACGAGACTTTTATTATTTAAATTATTTTTTTTAAAAAAAAATTAAATTAAATAATTATTTTTTATATTATATTACAAATTTATTTTACATTTAAAATATAAAATTCTTATTCCATCAAATAACTATTTAAATTTAATTTTTTACTGTTAAAAAATATAAACTAAAAAATTCAAAACCCATAAACAAACATAATATTAATATCTTATTTAAAAGGAATTTCAAAACAGAAACAAACTGTGTTTGTTTACCAAATTTTTATAATTTTATATTCAAAACACTATATTAATATATATATTTATATTACATTTATACAATTATTAAAAATCAAAATTTTTAATATTCAAATGTCGAACTAAAATTCAAAAATCAAACAAACACAAATTATTGCAGTGTGTTTGTTTGGGGGATTGAATTTTAAATACACTATTCATCCTATTTTTTTAAAAAATATCAAATTAAACATCCATTTTTTATTTTTTATATTATACTAAAAATCAATTTTACATTCAAAACATCACATCAACATTTATTTATATCACATTATACAACTATTCAAATTCAAATTTTTTATTATTCAAATCTCAATTTAAAATCCAAAAACTTTAAACAAACACACCCTTAAATTACAGGGTTTCTGACCTAAACCTTCAAAGCCGCCGCCCCATTTCTTCTTTCTTCTTCCCTTCATTCTTTTCCTTCTTCCTTCTTCTTCTTCCCTCCGCTGCTGCTTCCGCTTTCATCTCCACCACTCACTGCTTCACCGACCGCCGTCTCTACAGCCGTCTCCGCCGTCGCTGCTCGTCCATAGTTGCCGTCTCCACTTCACGCCCCGATTGAGAAAAGAACAAAACCAAAATTGGCCGAACCGCCGGTTCGAACTTCAAACCGGCGGTTTGAAAAATCTGAACCGAAACCGGCAGTTCAAAACCAGTTGGGAAAGTCTCTGGTCGTCTTCTTCAGCCCGCTTCGTCTACTGCAGGGAAATGTGTGAGAAAATTGTAAGTTGAATCCTTTCCCTCCTTCCATTGAGGCTAAAGTAAAATCAACTGTGAGAAATTGCCGAAATTTATTGCTGTTTTGTTATTTCGATTCGGAAATGATTTGGAAGATACCGATTCGATTATTGACATTGCTTTGTGATTTCGCACAATTTCCAAAAAGTGACTACCTTTTTCATTATTTCTTCGCAGCTGCCTACAAAGTTACAAGTACAGTGGCGTTGAGCATTTTCACATTTTGATCTTCACGATGAATGGCAGTGTTGATGAGACAGCTACGAATTCATGGGAGAACTGGAAAATTATTCACATTCCAGAGAAACCTCCGGTTCCTCCTAATCTGCAAAGCACTGGTATGTATTCTGTTTTCTAACTGTGATTTCCTTCTTCGATTCCAGTTCTTAAACTTTCTTAATTATCAGATCTTTTTTTATTGTGCAGTGGATGTGCTTGTTTCAGCAATCGAACCTAAGTTTGCTAATTCTGTCATAAGGTTTGCTGTCATTTGAACCTCAAATTCTGTATCCATTTTTTAAACAAGTTCATGCTCCAATTCCTATGATATATGTTGTTAGGAAGTTAAATCATATAGCACCATTAGAAGGTCTCCGCCATGTGAAGCGCATACGCAAGACTTGTCTTGATGGAGGTTGTTTGCTTCTCTACTGATAAGTGTGTCTGCCTAAGTGATATTGATTTCCGATTGCTGCTTTCGATTTTGAAGGTGATCTATCATTAGTTGAAAATTGGCTGTGGGAAACACCAGGAAAGACTTGCAAACAATCTAACAACAATGAAGTGAAATTGTTTTTGCAGCTTTGCATTTGACGATATTACTGTGCTGTGAAAAATGTTTTAAAGCTCGGTGGCATGGTTTTCATTGTTCAGATTATTCCCTTAGTGTAGGTATTTTGTTCTTTATCATGAGAGGGTTAATTTAATGGCTTTAGAATTGGCCACAATTTTGCTAATTTTCTTCGTCTGTTGAACTGGTCCTTACATCATTCGAATGCATAGACTGGAAGTTGACAGTTGTTTCTTTTTCGGATTTTGAATTTTAATCCAGACTTGAATTCTGGATTTTTCCATTTTGGTCTACTGAGTCTTGGAGTGTAATTGTTAGTAAATTTGGTTCGTGACGATGTTGGTATGTAGCAGGGAAGTATCAATTATTTGTGATCTTATGCCTGGCTTCTGGAACTGAGGATGAATCCCACTCTATGCCGGAGGAAGTGCTGGAGCTTGTGAATACATATCAATTGAGTACTTTCGTCGCTAAAGTAGGTCATTTCTTTTATCTTCTAGCTTTATGTGACTTCTATTTGACTGTTCCATGCTCATGGTTGCCACTTCTTCTTGCCCTTGAAACCGAAAAATGCCTACAATGACCTTTTGGAATTAACTTATATTTCTGATATACACTAGTTTATGATCCATATTGTTACATTATTATTCATTAGTTAGTCACCCGGCTTTACCTTTACTCTTTCCCCTCATCTTATAACGATGATGTGTTTTTGAAGAAAGAGACTGTGATAATGGTTAGGATCAACTACAGCTTTGAGTTATTGTCTTCTCTGTGTGTCTTTTTACTCATGGGACTTATTTGTTGTAATTTTCAAAAGTATTATCTTGTTACCTCTGTGCATCTAATCATTTTGTTCAAGCCTTTGCATGCCTAAGTTATGAGTTTTTTTTGTCAATGATCTGTGTTAAATATTCTTATCTGCTGCTTCAAATGAATGTTTATTAAGGAAAATGACTGTTCGTTAAATGTTGGTTGTGGCTTGTGAACTAAAATTATATCATTTTAAACTCTTTTATTAAATTGAGCCTGATTTCTTTGAAGCGTGGCTGCTTACCCTTTGTTTTATGGTTCAGGTAAGCAGATATGCTGCATCGACGAAGGAAGAATGGGAAGAACAATGCAAGTTGTGGCCAACTTCTTTTCATCCACCTACTTAGTGAGTTACTTAAAATATCAATTTATTGCGTTCCAACATAACTACAGAGTTCTAATACTCCTCACGTTTCAGCAATATTGAGGGAATAACTGGCTTTAGTGAGGAGGATCTGATATCAGTTTCCAACTTCATGAAGCTTGCTGTTAGTATTGCTAAATATGGAGCTTCAGTAAGTACTCACTGCCTGTAGCTTGCTGCAAAGTACATCCTAATATGTTGTAGTTATAATCTTTGTGGTGTATTTGCATGCATGTTTTGTGGCGAAGACTTCCCTTTTACTGTTTCGTTTCTTTTGCTTTCCTATGTAATTGACTTTATTAAAAGCGATATGATTATATCTGTATGATATGTGGAAAAAACTGTAGTACTGTATTTGATTATGTGGAGGATGAATGTCTTCTCATTTCCAAAATTTCACTGCTTATTTTTCATTGTTTTTTCAGTTTCAACATTTGATCTGCTGTTATACGTGTGTAAGGGTAGACGATGCATAAAAGAATCACTTTTAATTAACATTAAGTAGTACTTTGGCCAACACTATCATTAAGTTGATCGGATTATGATTTCTCTCACTTCTCTCCCCTTAATTTATTTATTTTGTGTGCGTGTGCAGAAGCTCACTTTACCAACTAAGCTAATTTGTAGCCTTCAAGAAGTAGATCTGGAGCTTGAATATATTCTGTTGTTGTAGTTCTACTATGCAATACATATATATATATATATATATATACATATTCTGTATTTTTGAGGTATTGATTTATTGTTTGCTAGTTGTTCTGTCAATTATACACGGACTTTTTTTTTGGCAGCTTGTCAATGCTGCTGTCATTGTGGACCCTTCAACTAGACAGGTTATTGCTAGCGCTAGTGATCAAGGCTCGTCTGCTTTTACGAACAGTACAAGCAAGGAATTGTGTACTTCAGAGCATCCTGAAGCCATTGCAAAGATGAATCCATCTGAAATGACACAAGATCCAATATCTCTGTCAAAACATTCAAATGGTGCAGAGAAATCCTATACGAATGTATCTTGTTTGAATCCGTGGAGATGGCCTGAACAACAATATGAGAATCTTTATTCTTGGCACCCATTACGACATGCAGCCATTGTAGCAATTGAAAATTCTGCTGCAAGGGATAGGCTCCTTTTTCCTGTGATTGAACAAAGTACAGAATTTGCCCAAGAGGATTGTAGGGTGTCTTCTCCAACCGGCTCTCCTTTAAAACGACAAAAGATTAATGCCAATGTAAGCTTCCTCTCTATTTTGCAGTTGGTTAACATAGATTTGGCCTCAGCCAAAGGCAATTAGTACAACTAATTTTTTAATTCTGTTGATAGATATGCAGGTATGAAGTGTCGCGTCATCTAATTTAAAATAATAGCTGTACTTACTCGCAAAATAGTCCATTGAGACCTCAATTACGATCCATCTTTCAGGTAACAGATGATGAGAACACGGACGATTGTAGGAATGGCATGTGTTGTGACTCAACAAGGCCATATTTATGTACAGGCTATGACATCTACTTTGTCTGGGAGCCGTGCGTTATGTGAGTTCTCTGTACCAACAAAAAAAATCATATATAGTCAGTTTTTACTGTTCTTGAATGATCTTTATCCATTTTATTTGTTTTATTCTTCTGTGAATTTAGGTGTGCAATGGCGATTGTTCATCAGAGAATCAAACGTGTATTCTATGCTTTCCCAAACCCAAACAACGGTGCACTGGGAAGTGTTCACAGATTGCAGGGAGAGAAGAGCCTGAATCATCACTATGCTGTTTTCAGGGTCTTGATTCCTAAAGACTTCCTTAATATCGAACTACCAGGAGCCTGAATATATCAATCTACTTGAAGTTCTAAAATATCTCAATATCTTTATTACTCCAACATTTGGAAAATTGAACTTCTTCAAATGTTCTAACCTTAATTACTATGCTGTGGTATTGGTTTTTTATTATATTAGAATCTGGAAGTACGCCGATACCGTGAATCTTGTTTTTTCAGTTCCAGTTTTTACTTCCTATATAAGGTTGTTTCTTTGAGCCGGAGGTGTTAATGGCACAATACCTGTAGATTCTTCAATCTTTAGAAGTCAATATGTTGTGAATATAATGTTTTTTGATTGCTTTCGATTTCTAAAAGTCGATATCTCCTGCCATGCGACTATTATCAGTGAGCTGCTCAGCCTCAGGTATATAGAAAAGCATAAACGATCATCTTTATCTCGATTTTTCCTACGCTTAAATTGCTTTGAAGTTCATTTCCATGTTTTCATGTATATAAGATTCTGGGGCAGGCATTACTCGTTCGTAGATCGACTTTACTAAGCAAGAAGAAGCTGCTGCTGCTGGTGGCGAATGTTGTAAGAATGAATAGTAAGTTTTCTTTGGACCCTTTAAATGTACATGCTTCATTTTCAATCTCTCCGCCATTTTCAGTCGAGAATCTACAGTCTCCGAAAACTGAAAAAACACCTAGTCGAAATTGTCTCAATTAAAAGTTGACGAGGTTTAGAAGTCTGTAGCATCAACTGGTAGAGAAGTAGTCGGCGTATGTTGTAGCAGCATGCTCGAGTAGAAACCCTTTGCCGTCACCATGTGCATGGGATTACAAGAACTAAACGAGCATCCGAATCCGTGTATCTTCTGCTTCATCACACCCTTGTTTTCAGAATCCAAATGTGTGAATGCCGAAATTGATATAGTCTCATATTCATCTTTAGCTCCGGTCGGAATCTGCTTATTTGTCGCTCGTGCTTTGCTGTCAGTATCTGATGTCGAAGACTCGATCTTTTCACCGGGTGCTCTTTCGTGGTTACTGTAGCCGAGTGAAGCATCGTTACTGTCATGGTGCTCAGAGCCTTCGGATTGGTCGATCGTCTCTTCGAAATGGCTGTGCATTGATCTTGGAGGTTCGATGTTCTTACACAACTCGTCAGATGGAAGACTTCCGGTTTCTTCGATGCAGGTACCACATTTCCATTCCGGCACCAATGCAGCGATTTCTCCGTCAATCATTTCTGCGATTTCGGTAACATCTTGGTCCATGATGTCCAACTCGGCCACCATTTCCGTCGCGACACAAAGGGCCGAGTCAGTATCCGTGTCGAAAGGGAAGTATATGTTCCGGACATGGCCTTGTTTATCCGCAATTCGGAGCCTCAAGAAGATGTAGCCGTCCTCGTTCTTCCTCCCTTTGATGGTGATGTCGACGTTTTCCAGGTGATGATCTTCTCGATTCGCTAATAAATCTGCGCTAGCCGATTCGTAGTCTTGATGTGATTCGTGTTCTTTCTGATAAAATTTATAGTGTTGGTTCAAGTAGCTGTTGACGATGCCCGATTCCTCGATTGATGGCCTCGGATCATAACCGTAGTTGTCGATTTGGAGGAATGGGTCATGGAGAAGCTCCCGGGCAGACAGCCTGTCGGCAGCCGTCACCAGACATTTCTCGACAAATCTACGTACTTCCGGATCCTTCACCTTGTAGAGGGCGTCAGGTTTCTTGCCCTGAAGACACATCGATACGAGGTAAGCAACATGAACCTCTCATTCAATTGGACATCGTAAAGAAAATGGGAAAATAAGTCGGGAGTTCGTTCTTACGGATACGACTTTCTTGTAAATCTGCACCGGATGCGTACATTCGCTATAAGGATACTCCAACGTTACCATCTCGAGCATACACATCCCGAATGAATATATATCAACTAGCTCATTGTATTCCTCTCCATACACCTCCGGTGCCATGAATTCTGGCGTCCCTGATCAAACTAGTGACGTTCAGATCACGAAAGCAATTTTAATTCGCAAGAAACTCAGTTGGGGTTCGAACCCTCACCGACACAATGTGCGACGTGCGTTTTCCTTAAAATCGCCGCGAGGCCAAGATCGCCAATCTTGACCTCGCCGTGGTTCCCATTGACGAAAATGTTGTCGCACTTAAGGTCTCTATGGATCACAGGCGGGTCGAGACTGTGCAAATACGCGAGCCCTTGGAGTATCTGTCGACACCACTTCTTGATCGCCCGAACATTCAATTTCTTGTGCTTCAACCGATACCTATGTTTTAAGGACAAATGGTTGTTCAATGAATGCTCGAATTCTGACACGATCGAATCGAATGGATATATATATCGGGACAAGTATGTAATATCTTACTGTCGGAGAGTGCCGGAAGTGAAGATCTCGGTGACGAAATTAATGTTTCGATTGGAAGTGTCGACCCAAGAAGTGTGGAATTGGATAATGTTCGAGTGGTTTAAGGTTTTGAGAAGATGTATTTCGCAGTAGAGTCTTTCGAGTTCTTCGGGGCTTTGTAAGAAGTCGTGAAGCTTCACTTGGTTCCATGCTACTTCGATCCCTTCGTATTCATCGAATGCTCTGTAACTGCATCAACAATCGTAATTTAAATTAAATTAAACTAAAAAAGATTAATTATATCCGATCAAAATAAATAATGAGATTTATGACAGGATTATTACTACGATTTATATCTATTGATCTTGTCATTTTAATTAGTTCATATAAAATGACCTCGTACCACTATATTTGGTAAAAAATTCAATTTTTTTATCTTTTTGAAAATTCTATCAACAATATTTTTTTTCTATACTTACAACATTGATTCTACATTGAATAAAATAAATAAATAATTCAATTCATTGTTGTAAACCAAAAGTGACATTACTAATTCTAAAAAACATCAAATTTTTCCCTTATAAAAATTACAAAAACAATAATATATTATTCTTTTTACTTTTCATGCCAAAAAAAAAAAACAAAAAAAAACTTGAACATATTTTCCAAGGGAGTAATTAACAACAAAAGTTTGTCATAAATAACAAAGAAGATCTTGATGCATACATACACTGTCTTTGAAGCCCCTTTTCCAAGAATCTCATCATACTGCAAATCCAATCAAATCAAATTAAGACAATCAAACATTCATTAAACTCAAGAAGATAATTCAATAAAAATAAAATTAAATTAAATCGTACCCTTCCATATCTTCCAGTTGGATCAACTTCCACAAACCCTAAATCATCTAAATCATCAAGATCACTTCCACCGCTACTCATGATACCTTAATTACAATATATATATATATATGTATGAACTGGTTTATCTTAGGGAACTGAAGGAAGACAGGAGAAAGAAAGAAAGAACAGAAAAACCCACTAATCAATATACAAATATTTTCTTGAAAATATCCAAAAACTGCAAATACCCTAAATGGGATTTTTCAGAAACCCTCGAAGGAAAGAAGAAGAAGAAGAAGAATAGGTAAGAAAGAGTCTTTGAAGATGATGAACAATTAGGACAATAGTAGCAACAGCAAATCTTGCCCCCATAAAAACAGCCCACAGACAGCTCTACCCCATACCCTAATCAAGACAAAAAACCTTTGCTTTCTCCTCCACCACTTTCTATCTCATCTCTACCCATCTCATCACGAGATGTAATAAAAACCCCTTTTCCCTAAAAGAATCCACAAAAAAAATAAAGGTAAAAAATTAAAGAAAATAAAAATAAAGAACCACACCTTCCACACAAGAACACAGTCATTTTGACTTCAAACTTTTTCCTTTCTTTTGTGGGGTTTTATTTTTATTTTATTTTATTTTATTTTATTTTGTGGGGTTGGAAAGTTTTTTGTGTGTGTGTACACATGGCCATGTGGAAGCATGTGTTGCTCATGGATTTGTCAAGACAGGACAGACAATGGCCTGCACATCACAGCTAGCATGTAGGGACAAGTATTATTGTTGTGGTCCATGGATCTCAGGTCCAGATGCGCCGACTGGGTGGAGGAATATGCGCGTTGGATCTGTGGTCCCTGGCGCTTGTATGAATTAGTAGTGTTTTACTGTGTACGTGGCGTGTCGTCTGTAAGAAGTTGGTACGGTACGAATAATTGTGGTACTGTTTTAACGACACTTAGACGGATTCAACGTGTCTTTGTTTTGGAAATGGATTTTGATTTGAAATTTAAATAGGTAAAATTTTGAATTTAAATAGTTGTATGATGTAATATAAATAAGTGTTGATGCGATATTTTAAATATAAAATTAATTTTTAATATAATATAAAAATAAAAAATAGATATTTGATTTGATATTTTTTGAAAGAAAAAAATAGGATGAATAATGTATTTGGGGGAAAATTTCCCGACAAACACACCCTTAGATTATCACGAAGCTTTAAGGCTCTGTTTAGTCCTCGAATTTTACGCTAATCTTTTTTTTTTTAATTATCTAAAAATATTAATTTAAATAATCATCTATTAAATTTATATTTATTTAAGTTTATTACGAATTTAATTAATTATTATATTGAAACGTAGTACTAATTAACAAAAGATTGTAAAAATATTTTTATTAAATAATATTTTTACAAAAATTATACAAATATAAAATTATTTTTAATATTAAATAAAATGATCAAAAGATAAACGTGATCCTAAATGGCAGACAGAAGGAATATTTTTTTCTTCAATCATTCAAATTTACTTTATTTTTTTATTGTTTTTTAATATAGTCTTCTTATAAATAAAATATATATACTTCCTCCGTCCCTTAATAATTTATTTATTTTTTATTTTTTATTTTTCGTAACAAAGTATTTATTTCATTTTTCAGTAACTGTACTTTCTACTGACATTAAAAATACTCTTACTACTTAAAATATATTACACAAAATTATATTTATATCACACAATACTAATAAAGTTATTTTAATCTTTTCTATTTTATTCATACTACACTATAATATAAAAATAATATTTCTAAAAATTTTTAAGAAAATAAACAGATAAATAAATAGGATAAGGATGGTAAAATATGGTATATTATATTAATACATGTATATTATGTTTTTTAATAATATTTATAGAGAATTATTCCACTGAAAGTAAACCAATTTTTTTTTTTTTTAAGAAAACAATTATTTTAAAATTTAAGTATCCATATAGCGTAACAATTAATGTAGATATGAAAATTTAGAAGAAATATGATTAGTAAATAACTAATAATATATTAATAAAAATAATTAAAATATAATAAAAATAATTATACATTAATATTAAAATAACTAACTAGTATAATTAAATTTAAAAATTATAATTTGAAATTTTAAAATAAAACTAAAATATATAATCTTTAAAAAAAAATAGTAGTATTTATGTCTCATATAAATAGTAATATTTGTTTTTTATATTATTTTTTTAATATTAGTATTATATTAAATTGCAGTAAAAATGATAAAAATATCTAGTATTATATAATATTACATAATAATATTTGTTAATATATTATAAATTATAAAAATATTTATTATATTAGGTAAATTTAAATTAAAAATTGATATTTTAAATTTAAAAAAAGAGTAACATGATGATCAATATTTTAGTTTTGCAGCCTAGTCCTGAAGTCCCGGGCCCTTCCAATTACTAATGGGGTCTGCCGTCAATCCATATTTATTATTTGTAATAATTAATTGAGATATAAAATTATTAATACTGTTGTAAATCCTTTTCGTACTTTAACGTACAGATAGACATATCATCATTTATCATTATTCTCTACTTTAATTATAAAATAACTCGTCATTTATCACTATTCTCTCCTTTAATTATAAAATAAATAATTTTCATTTTTATATATAATTAAATAAAATCAAAGGGTTTGCTCCTCAATTTATATTTTTCTTGAATGGCACATTTTTAATAAATTATACCCCACGTCATGCAAATATGAGCTCATTTGATCGAATACGAGTTTTAATAAAAATGAATAATAATTATTAATATTTTGTTTTATAGTACAAAAGTGGAATGATTTTTTACTTAAAAAAGAAATGAGAATATTTTTCGATGACAATTGAAAAAGAAAAGTGAACATAGATTTGAATGACGGAGGGAGTATAAAAATATACTCCTTCTTCCGTCTTATATTTATTTATCAATTTTCTTTTTTCATAGAGTTTTATAAATATTAGTATTGTATTGAGAGGTAAGTATAAATAACGATAAAAAGACTAAACTAATCTTATTGTATGATATAAAGGTAATGACATTTGTGTAATATACTGTCAATTAAAATGATATTTATAATGTTAGGTAAATGTACCATTACTAAAAAAAATAAATTGATATTTTGTTATAAGACAGACCAAAATGAAAAAATAAATAGATTATTAAGGAACGGAAGGAGTATAATATACACATATTAATATACTATATACTCCCTCGGTCCCAGATACCGTGTCTGCTACACTGTAGATACAGTTTTTAGGAGGAGTGTAATTAGTAGATAATTAAGAATGTATTAGTGAAAATAATTATCCTATAATATAAATAATTATAAATTAAAATTAAGATAACTAATTAGTTTAATTAAAATTAAAAGAAAATAAAATTAAAAAATTTAAAATGAGATTAAAGTGTGTAATCATTTTCCAAAAAAGGAAAGTGACATGATACATGGGACGGATAAAAACGACAACATGGATATAGTATATGGGACGGAGGGAATATTTTTTTCATCCATAAAAATTTAATTATTCGATGCAAAATATTATTTTCTTATATTATCAAAACAATTTATCGTATTTAAAGTAAAAAATACATTTATTCAAAAATATAGAGTGAACAACTTCATAAGTTTATAAATAAAACACACTAGGAAATTATTGTAGTGTTGTTTAAAGTATTTAAATGTGTGTTTTCAAATTATTTGATAACCATTATACATGTTGTAAATTTATATCGTGAATGTTTGAATTTATCGAACAATACTTTATATACAAAAACAAAATAATTTCTCGAACAATACTTCATATACAAAAACAAAATAAATTAGCAGAAGCAAAATTCAAATAAATTCAAAATTAAACAACATCAAACTTCGGAAAATCGACTTCTTCCTCGTCGATAGATCAAACTAGTGACGAACAACATCGACTCCCGCAAACAACGGTGGTGTTCGACTCCGATCTCCTCCGAACAGCTACCTAAAACTCAAGCGACATCTCCGAAACAACAGGTGAAACTTCTATGGTGACAATCCCTTCTCCCACGAACTCAAAGTTCCGATCTTCATCTTTCTTTCACTAGCGAGAGAGATAATAGATTCAGCTCAGTCCAAGGCGCGAAATGATACGAGGTAACCACCAGAGTCGTGTCGGAATTTTTTTAGACCCCGAGTAAAAAAATAAATTATAGACCCTATAAATGTATTATTAAATTTATTTTAAAAATAGTATTAACGATATATATAATAATAAACTCTAAAAAATAAAAATTATTTTAATTATATATCCAATAAAGGGCGTAATCACAATCATATACTCATAACAAATCATTTCAATTATATGTAGGAATATTTTGTGCGTGTACACCTTTTTTTTTTTTTTTTTATTTTTACGAATTGAGATAATTCAATAAATAAATAAGAGAGCCAAGTGTATGATCGATATGTACAAAAAATACAAATAATAAAGATTTGTTTGATAAACATAAATCTCCGGGCAATGCTCCCCAGCCATTATTATTCTTCTTGTAGGTCCCACTTCCCAACTCCATTATTGTTTAAAATATGCACAATGTTTATCATAATAATATATATATATATAGTGCATTTATTTATTTAGATAAATTTGTTTTTCTAATGGTACATATCAAAAATCAATATAAAATATATATTCCTTCAGTCTTATTTTAAACGGCTCATTTATTTATTTTTAATTAAAAAATAATATTACTTTCGTTCGATCTCAAAGATTTTATTTACTTTTTGTATGTTGATCTTTGAATGTTTATTATTATATTAAAACGTAATACGAATTATGAGAAAATTGCAAAAATATTCTATTAGTGTCTTATAATACTAATTGAAGAACATTTGTACAAAAAATTATATAAATATAATTATATTTTTAATGTTAATACAATGACGAAAAAAAATAGAGGTGATCCTTAAAGACAGACAGATGGACAGAAAGAATAATATTCTATTTAAGTAGTGTAGTGTGTAAGATAATTTAATATTTTTTTAAAAAAAAATAAAAATAAAATAATGATATTTTTATAATTCGTGTAAAATTAGAAGTATTTTAATATTCGTATATAAATTACTTTTAATACAGTAAAGCACAAACAATAATTCTTTTTTAGATGTCATTTCTCTCTATTACGTCGTCTTCCCTCATGCATTCGAAAAGATTTCGCTTCACTTGTGCTTGGTACAGTTGCTTTTGACGGAGACCTCTATTTCTCTCTCGTAACTCTCCTCCCGTAGGTATCTTCGACATCCTCGAGCGATGTTGTGAAATTCAAATTCGTCGTTTTCATCTTCCAGGCGAAGAGGCTTCTCTATCTACGAAGGTGAACCAACGACGAGGTAGGATTACGTGATAAATTAAAATGCAAAGGGAAGTCGGTGGGATGAGAAATAGAATTCACCGGAGA